CCAAGCAGGGCTCTTCACACTGATCCTGCCACCAACTCCCGCCTTCCCTCCAACATCCACTCAACATCTTTTGAATCTTCATTCATCCAGCTCCAACTTCGACTCCTAGTCATCCCTCAAAATCTGCCCTTTCTGGAACCTTCTGTACCTCAGTAACTGGCGCTTCCAACCTTATAGTCACTCAAGCCTTGAAAACCCCGAGACTCTGTTCTTTCTCCTATGGCTCCGTTTAACCCACCAACCCCATCATGTCTACCTACAAAAAGTGTCCAAAATAGCGTTCTGTGTGTGCCACCTCCAGCCTGTTCCCCTCTCTCGCCAGCATTAAGGCACAGACTTCATGACTGGCCTCCCTTCCCCGCTACTGTCTGTTCTCAACTCGGCAGCCAAGGCCGTCTTGTGAAAATTTGGCTCAGCGGCCCGCATTGCCTCACAGGCAAGGCTTTCCACTCGTGGTGCTGGCATCTCATATGAACGCTGGTTCAAGTCCCCGCTGTTCCACTTCCAGACCTGCTCCCTGCCGTGTGCCTGAAAAAGCAGCAGAGGATGGTCCAAATATGGGGGTCACACCTGGAAGAGCTAAAAGGGGTTCTTGGCTTTGGGGCTTTTGGCCTGGCAGCCTTTGGGGAGTGAAAACCAGCAGATGAAAGCTTTCCTCTCTGTCATTCTCCTTTGCGGGTAAAATTCAATTTAGAGAAAGAAGAAAAACAAACCTTCTCAGATTGTGTCACTCTGCCCTCAGGCCGCACTAGGAGTCGCAGCCTCCACACGCCCCTGCCTGCAGGCCCCACTCCCCTCAGGCCTAACCTCCATCCTCCACCCCAAGGCCTCCAGGGCCCTCACTTCCCTCCAGCCTTTCCAGCCTGCTTCCTCTTCCCCCTCACACAACCAGCCTTCGGGCTTCCTGTTTGGGCTTCCTGTTTCCGCTACCTGTTAGCTCCGCCCCCACCAATGGGATTGCCTAACCTGTGTCAGTTGTCTGCACAAACGCTCCCCTCAATGGGGCTTTCTTTGGCCACTGTTTCTTGTTTGTTTGTTTTGTTTTGTTTTAAGATTTATTTATTTTTTGGAAAGTCAGATATACAGAGAGGAGGAGAGACAGAGAGAAAGATCTTCCATCCGATGATTCACTCTCCAAGTGAGCGCAATGGCCGATGCTATGTCGATCCCAAGCCAGGAGCCAGGAACTCCTTCCAGGTCTCCCACATGGGTGCAAGGTCCCAAAGCTTTGGGCCATCCTCGACTGCTTTCCCAGGCCACAAGCAGGGAGCTGGATGGGAAGTGGAGCTGCTGGGATTAGAATCGGCGCCCATATGGGATCCTGGTGCATTCAAGGCGAGGACTTTAACCAATAGGCCACGCCACCGGGCCCAGGCCACTCTGTTTCAACCAGCTACCTCCCTGTGTACCTGGTCCCTCCCCAGCACTGGGTCCGCAGTGGAACCCTGCTTGTCCAGTGCCCCCCAATACACACAGCCATGGACCTAAACTTCCTGCTCTGTCCGCTCTGTTCAAAGCAGGGCCTGGCATATCAGAGGTACTCAATAAAGAACTATGGAAGGAAGAAACGCAGTTCAGGAAAGCCCTACAGTCCTGAATTCAGGGCTGGGGACCGACAAGTGGTGGGACTTTCCTGTGTGGCAGGCTGTCTGTAGTGGGTGGAGAATTTCTTTCTTCTTCTTCTTCTTTTTTTTAAGATTTATTTAATTTTATTGGAAAGGCAGATTTACAAAGAGAAGAAGAAACAGAGAGAAAGAGCTTCCATCCTCTGGTTCACTTCCTAAGTGGCCGCAATGGCAGGAGCTGTACTGATCCAAAACCGGGAGCCAGGAGCTTCTTCCAAGTCTCCCACAGGCAGGGAGCTAGAAAGGAAGTGGAGCAGCTGGGACACAAACCAGCGCCCATGTGGAATCCTGTTGCATGCAAGGTAGCCACTAAGCAATTGCACTGGGCCTGGGATTGAGAATTTCTAAGACCACTTCAGGTTGAAGTCTGCCCATTACTGTAGCTGCTGACACACGTGAATGTAGGACATGGTGGTGGGCAGGACCCAGTGCTGGTGGGGAGCAGAAGGCCCCCTCTTTCTAGACCTGAGGTGACACCTGTACTTGCTTTAAAGTAAAAGACAGGATTCTGGCTGACCTTGACAAGACCCCAGGTGAGGACTAGGGGGTGAGTGGTCCAGTGCCGTGATGAGGCCTGGTGTGTGGTTCCTTTGAGGATGCCTTGAGAGCACTACCATAGAGGAAGACAGGCAGGGCCTGAGGAGGAAGAGGAGGGAGATGGAGCGGGCTTTCCACACTCATCATCTGGACCCACGCCCCAGGGCATGGAGCGGAGACCGCCAGGCAGGCTTCCCTGGGCGGGGATGGGGTGGGTAGGCCTTTTGGCCAAGGGAAGCCACAGCCTCCTCCTTTTACTCTGAGCTTTGCAACAGTTCCCTGCCTGTTTTCCCCTGAAATAAATGGGCTGAGCATATTGGGCCGGCAATAAGCCCTTGAAATCAGCTGTTATCACAGTTAACAACCAGTTTGGCTGCAGTTCAGGCTGTTAACTATCAAACCGCTAAGTGCCGGTAATGATTGATTCTTGGCCAGTTGCAGCTTGAGCAGGCTGTAAAATGCCATTAGCAAGGGCTCTGGGGGCAGTAACCCGGAGACAAACAAGTTGCTGGGTGCTCCAGCCAGGCCAGCCCCACTGCTCCCCCAGCTCAGCTTCCAAGGGTCTCCAACCTAGGGTCCTTCCCAAAGTCTCCGGTAGGACCTTAAGAACCAGATGTTGCCCTCGCCCAACCCACTCCAACACCCAGCAGCGCCCCCCACCTTGTTTCCGCCGGCAAGCAGATCTGGGCCCTTTGGACAGCTCCCCTCACCTCCCTAGACATAAACACAATGGTCCCGGCCACCCCCAGGGTCCAGGCATCCTGGGCCTGGGGCGTGAGAATTAGCTCTGGCCTAGCCAGTGACTGTGGCAGCCTTGGCCCAGCCCCACCGGGCCCCACTTCAGTTGTGGTCAGTCGGGGCCAGGATCACAGGCAGGAGGGGCTAACATTCCACCACCACCACGAGTACCACCACCACCACCGCCCCCCCACTCCCTCCTACACTGTGGCTTCTTCCCCCAGGAATTGCTCTCAAACAAATGAAATGTGGGTAATTACTGGGCCGGGGGCTGGACAGGCGACCGTGCAGATGAAAGCGCTTCCTGGACGGTCTCTTCATTTGCATGGCATCAGAAGCTGCTCAGAAGGTGTGACTTTTCCCACACGGAGACCCCAGCTCCTTGCACAATAAAGCCAGCTTGCTCACCCAGAATTAATTAAAGGGGGAGGGGAGAGGAGTCAGGGGCAGCTGGGGGGACAGGCGGTGGAGAGAGATGTCCCAAGCCCTCCCCATGTCGCTGGGCTGTACACACCAGGGGAGACCCGTTCTGTCAGGGCCCCTCATCGCCCCCTCTGCAGAGGCCATAGCAGACCTCCCAGGATCCCCAACCTTTTACCCTTTGGGCTTGCCCGGGGGCCGCAGGTTCCTGATACCCCTAAATGGACTGAGCCTGGGACTGGGGGCCGCCCATCTGGGAGACCCACATAGTGGGAACTTGGGCTCCCATCCTGATCCAAGGAGATGCCAGGCAAAGCGCCAAAGGACAGAGACCCAGAAGGAAGATATTTCTGGAAGGGTCCAGCAATAGGGCTTTGGGGCTGCCTCCTAAACACAACCAGAACAGGAGACCTAGGTAAAGAAGACTGGGCCAGCTCTGGGCTCGGGGCATCTGACCCCTGTAGGGTTTGATATGCAGGCACAGCCTCTGCCCACCAAGGGCCAGGGCTGCCCACATTGTGCCAATTCCACCATTTTTGCAGGTAAGCCATGAACTTCCTGTCTGCACCATCCTACTGCCCAGCTCCCCTCCCCCAGACCAGCATCTGTGCACCAAGCTCAGCACCTCCCACCTCCAGCTCTGTACTCAGATTCCACGGAATAAGTACTGAACTCCAGGTCGCGGTGGTGACCACAAGGCAGTAGCACCGTCTCCAGCACACCCTCACCTCGGAGCCCGGCAACTGCTTTTTGATTTTGGAGCCTGATTCGGTGAAGGAAGAACCAGGTCTGGAGTCTTCAGCCTGTCTCCCCCATGGACACACATACACACACGCACACACACACACAGAGAACCTATTTTTTATTTTTTAAGTCTTGAGTCCATGCTTGCATTGCAGCCCTCTTCTGTTCGTGACCCCCAGCTCCCAGGTGCTCTGGAGACAGTGTGAGCCATGACTCGCACCAGGAGCTCCCAGGACCTGCCGTGAGCCTCTGGCCCTGTTCCCCGCTTCTGTCCCCCACCCACCCACTAGGGAAAACCCTTCCAGTGACAGTGCTGAGGATAGCTGGCAGGCACAGGGCCCGAGCCTTGAGAGGAGGCACATGTGATAGCGAGTGCTGGGGCCCATTCTGCTGCCCCTAGAGCCGCCCAACTGCTAGGGCAGGGGTACAGAGCAGGAGTCCTTCTCCAAGGCGCGTTTGCACTGTGCAAGCTAAGGAAATATTTCAATCATTTAACGGGACAACTGAGACACTGTCACTACCACTACCGAAAAGAGCCAACCCATGCCACAACCTGCTCTTCCCTGCCCCCACCTGGGGGTCTTGGCTGCCTGGCCAGCTTGCCCTGAGGTGTTGCCCGCCCCCCAACCTCTGCTATATTAAAACAGGAGCTCCCACCCCTGGGGGCCCCTGCAGGGATCCCCAGACTAGACACCAGCAGGTGTTTTTTTTTTTCTCCAAGCATAAAGAAAACAGACACCGTAGTCAAGTGGAATACAAAAATAGAGCCTCTCTTTTGTTTAAAAAAAAAAAAAAAGACAAAACCCAACAACAAACGATATGAACAACCAGAAGCCCTGAACCGCCCCTGTTCCCCCCATCTTGCAGCAGTGTCCAGGCAGGTTTCACTGGAGTCTCTGGTGTGTGCATGGGGGGCGGCAGCTGTCCAGCGCACCGGGCAGGCAGGGAGAGGGGCCCCGCAGTGCCTATCGGGGCTCCGGGGCCCAAGTCCTCTGGCTGCCACGCAGGCTGCGTGTGAAGGGCGGGTAGTTGAGGAACTCAAAGCGCAGACTCTGCTCGGTGGTGTGGTGGCCACGGGGCAGCCGCTTCATGAAGTGGACCTCGCGCTGGTGCTGGCGTGTCTTGGAACCCTTGCGGGGCCGGCCCTTGCGGGTGAAGGCCATGTACCAGCCTTCGTACTTGGCATTCTGCAGTGCTGTGTAGTTGTTCTCCAGCACGATCTCCGTGAACACGCAATCCTTGCCTTTGCCGTTGCTCTGCAGGTAGGGGGTGGGGGTGGAGACCGGCGTCATGGAGCCTCCCCACCGGAGGCAGAGGGCCAGCAGCCCAGACAGCAGGTGGACACCCCAGCAGATGGCGAGGTGGGCAGGAGCTGCAGCCCCACCCCCTGCCCAGGCAACACGTTCTCTAATCCCCCCTCACAACCCGCAGCCCACCCGGCAACTTCCTGTGCCCCTGGGCAGCAGTGACACATGGCTGTCCACCCGAGGGGCTGGGCCCCGGCTCAGAGAGGCAGCGAGAGGGGCCCCAGGACCTGCCTGCTCTGGCCTCCTGCCCACCAGTCTGGCCTGAGCTGCTTGTACTGTTTCCCCACCTGGTCCCAGAGCCCCTCTGCACTCAGCACCTCCCACCCCCACCCTGGAGCCCTAGGGCAGTCACCCTGGGGATGGAGGGAGGGAGGCCTGTGAGTCCTGAGCCCCCAAAGCCCCAACAAGCCAGGGGAGCTCAAGGCTGGAGGAGCCGTGACTAATGGGGCCATTTCAGAGCTCGGCCGAGGGGCCGGGCCTGCGGCTTACTGAACATTCCAAATGCTGGTACCATGTAATTGGACATAATAGCAAAGCAATTTGGCGATTTGTTAAAAAGATATATGGAATTTACCACCACCACCACCACCTCCCCCCAACCCCTTCCCTGCCTTGTTTCTTCTCCCATGGTTCTCATAGCTCGCATCTCTCCTTCTCCACCCCTCAACCACACCAGGGTAACCCCAAGCTGGCTCGGCACATCTCTGCCCATGTTGCAGAGGTCAGAGCATGGGAGACAGCTCTGGAGGGGGCTCCGCCAGCCCAGCCCACTTCTCCTAGGCCCCAGGGGTCTCACCTTGGCAATCAGTTTGCCCTTCTTGTTCATGCAGATGTAAAGACCTGTCTCAGCTCCTCGCACTCGAACCCGGCTCCCAAAGGTATCTGTCTCCACTATGAGCTTTGCTGGGGGCAGCGAGGAAGGAGAAGGCGGTCACTGGGAGATCCCTGACCCCAACCTGCTACACCCCCCACCCCAGCTCACCCACATCCCCCAAGGGGCCACTGCCCCAAAGCCAAGCCCCCACGCTGCTTGCTAGTGTGCTGTGCAGCCCCCAGCCTCACAGAGGCTTGGAGGAAGACCAGGCAAGATTGTAGTTCATGCAGAGGACTCTCCAGAGGGGTCTGGGAGCAGCCCACAAGAGAGGGAGAAGCCCTCTTCCTTCCACTCTAAATTCACAGCCATAACTAACCCTAACTGAAATTGCCTGGAGTTCCACAGCTAATGGGAAGACCACGAAGGCCCCTTCCCACTCAGGCTGTTAGGTGCCTGTGCTCAGACATCTGGGTGCATCAGGGAGCCCAGCCCTGGGGCTAAAGGTAAAACACATCCTGGTCTATTGCCACCAACTCAGCTTGGACAACTGCCCTTTCTTCTGTCAACAGGAATGGGCCCACCCTCCCCAGGCTCACAGCCCAAAGCCACCTGCTTTTTCTGAGACAGCACTTTGACCTCAGCTTTGAACATCCCACCTTTCTGCCAAGGCTTCCCGGTTCCTGTGGTCCCCAGCCCTTGCATCCAGAAACCAACAGCTCAGTCGGCCCTCCCCTTCCAGTCCCTGCTCCCTGGAAGCTGGGCCCCTCGTCATCACCACCCTTCATCCCCCAACCCCGGGGCCACACACTTCCCGTGCATGGGAAAACTTGCTGTGCCATCTGGAACAGCAGGCTACATTCAGGACCTTCTTTCTCACTCACACTTCCCCTAGACAGTCAGCCCTCCCCTTGCCCCTCTCTCTGACCTGCCCGACCCCAAGCAGGTATGGGATGGGACAGAGGATTCTCCCGCAGAACCCTGCGTGGGACTCAGCTTGCGTGGTACCTTCTCTGTCCCTGAGGCCACTGGCAGGAGGGTGGGGAGGGGAGCCCAGTGGGCCAGCCCACTCTCCCACCCATTCACATAGGCACAAGAGCTGGGACCCAAGGGACCCTAAGTCTGCCAGGGAAGGGAGCAGACTGTAGGTGGCACCTCCCACACCCCCTCCCATCTTCTCTCCAACCCCGCCACCTGTCTCCTGTCCTCTCTGCTTCCCATCCCAAGCAGCAGTCGCTGCCTTCAAGGGAAGCAAGAGAGCAACCTTTCTGGGACCTGCATGCTCTGCCCCACTCCCCCCAAACTCATCTTGACCCAGTTGCATGCTCTTACATACTCCAGAACCTGACTCTGCCCTGTGGGAGGGGACCAGGGCACAGGGCCACCTCCTCAATGTCTAAGGACAGAGCTGGGCATCAAGTCACTGCTGCGGGGAACCAATTCCCCCCACCCCTCCCCACCCTGCCAAAACACACACCACGGGGTCTGCCTCGATTTTTCCTCCCCGGCACCCAAAGGATGCTGTGCCATGTGCTGCAACAGAGCAAACCCTAGGGGAGCCAGGCATTCGTTCTGTTCCCTTTCCTTGGAAGCCAAGAAGGGCAGCAAGCAACTAATTTGGAAGGACAAAGGGACAGCAGGCCAGCCTTGGCAGCCCAGCGGGGGAGCCTGGCCACCGGGGGTGGGCCACCCCCACCCCAACCCTAGGGACCAGCCCCCTCCGCTTTCAGGATGGATCTGGAGAGCTGGGGCGAGGGCGGGGGGGGGGGCAGTTGACTGCGGTTTTCCCAACCGGGCTTTTGGAAAGCTTAACATTTTCAAACCCATTCTTCCACCCCAGTGACAGATTTATCCCAGGAAAATTATGTCTCCTCCCGCAGCTTTGAAGGGAAGTGAGCTACGTCGGTGCAGAAAAAATGCAGCGAGACATACTCGATTCCCCCAAACTGGCTCGGGAAGAGGAGAAAGTATTCAGGAAATGTTAAAAAAGGTGAAAGTAAGAAGCGTTTTAATCGCTCTGCCAGACGCGGGGGTCTCTCCTGAGATTCCTAGAGAACAATCTTGAACTTCTTTGTTAACATTCACCGACTCACAACTCCTTTCAAAGCCCACATCTGAAAAAAGACTCGCTCACCCGCTCTGTTTTATATCATTCTTCATTTCTCTTCTTAGCTTTTAAAATGCCTCACCTTTTTATTACATTTTAATAGAGTCTTCCCCTGTCCTTTCATGCTTGTTTAACTTGGTCATTATTTAAAGGTTTTTAAACTCACAATAATCGCTCTCTTAAATAACAGCCCCAGCCGCCCAGGGGCTCGTCTCGCTCCCGATCCGTCCAGGACTCTGGAAGTTGGCCCCGGTTCCAGGCAGGAATATTGAATGTTTGAGAAATCAATCAGCCCCGCGCGGCCCCCTCCGCCCGCCGGCTCGGCAGCGGCCCCCTCTCCCACTCCTCAGCACTCCGCAGGGAGCGGGGCGTCCCACCCCAGCCCAGCGTGGGGAGGATTGGGAACACCCTGAGTCAGCCAGCCAGCTGAGCAGCCCCGGCCCCTTACAGGAGCGGACCCCTCAGATGGCTGCCAGAGGCAGGGTTGGGGGACCTCTCTCCCTTCTCCTTCCGGCTCCCCCTTTTTGCCGGCCCTGGCGAAGGATCTTCTTTCAAGAGTTTTCCTTAAACCTGGGCCCCCAGGCCCCCAGCTGCGTGCCTCCACCTGCAGCTGGGGCGAGCTCTATGCACGAGGGCAGGGACAGGGGTCTGGGGAGCTTCCCGGTTTCAATCATCTGCTGCCCAGGGAAGGGGGCACCAGTGGGCCAAGTTCGTCCTAGACCCCTTCCCTGGCTGAATCTAAAGTCCCACCCCACTCCGGCCGCCTTAACCCGTTGCCTTCTGAGCTGGGGACCTCCCGCCAACCCAGCGACCTGCGCGTGGAGGAGGCGTCAGTCACGCGCAGTGGCCCCACAGGCTAGTTGTGTGTGTGTGTGTGTGTGTGTGCGCGCGCGCGCGTGTTGTGGGGAGTATTCCGCCAGCTGCGCCCTCCAGGAAGCGGTAACCCCCACCCCAAGCACTGCCGTGCCTTACCGAACGGGTCGCCGTCCTCTGCCATGGCGTTGATGCGCTTGTTGGCCAGAACTTGCACGTGTTTCCCGCTGGTGCGGCTGTAGAGCTGGTAGGTCCGGATGAGGCGGCGGCTGAGCTGATCGGTCACCAGGCTCTGCTCCCTCACATGCTGTGTAAAATTAGGTGAGGACTGAACAGTTACCTTTAGGAAATTGAAAAATACACAACAAGCCATTATAATGCTACTCCGCCCAGGGGCCCGAGTGGCCCCCCACCCCCTGCACGGCGCCAGACGGCCCCCCACAATTTGCCGGTTCAGGTCACCATCTCCCCTCCCCGCCCACGACCCCCCAACCCGGGACAGTCAGGCAGCCCCAGCCCAGGGTGAATGGATGCGCCCGCCCAGGGACCGGGAGTTTCTGGACCCACCTGTTGGGAAACACCCTGGGGCTCCTGGGCAGCTCGCAGCAGGGAGGTGAGCTCCCTGCCCAGCGCAGGCCCCCCGCCCGGGCCTTCCTAGAGGAGCAGGGCGCTTTTAAGTAGGGAGGCAGCGCTACCTGACCCGTGACATTTATAAAGACGAATTTACAGGGCAAATGTGGAGAGCACCCGCAGAGGGTCTGGGCGCATGGCCGCTCGGCCAAACTGGCCACAAGTGCCCCTACCCCCCACCCCCAGCCCGCGAGGGTCGCGGACAGGGTTCCCCCCAACCCTCCACCCCGACCGGTCCCCGGCGTCCAGGTGCGGCTACCCGGAGGTTCCCCTCCGCTCCCCTCCACCCTACCCCGGCCGGGGGGCGCGTCGGAGACGGCGCTGGACCCCCGACGCCCTCGACTCCAGCCTCGCCGCGCACCCGCTGTGTGACCTCAGACAGGGGCGCCACCTCTCTGTTCTCGGCTCCCTCTTCGGGGTAGCTCGGGGCGGGATCGCTAAGGGTCCTCCCAGCCCCGCTGCGCTGGCCACGGGCTGGGTCCCCGGCTACGCCCCTGCCGGGCAGTGCCACTCCGAATCCCCGCCTCGGCGCGGTGCTGCTCACCTGGGCTTGGAGGCAGAGAAACAGCAAGTGCAACAGCCTGTGGGAGACAAAAGCAGGCGGGATAGAGAAGGGTAAGCGCAGACGGGCAGCTGCGGGCGCGGCTCGGCGGGGCGCTGGGGGCGGCAGTACTCACAGGCAGCTCAGCGCCGAGCGGGGGCTGCCCATGGCGCGCGGCCCGGGAGCGCGGGGGACCCCGGCGGGCGGCGAGCGGCGGGCGCCGAGGGCGGCGTGGGGGCGGCGGTCCCGACGCGGCGCCGCGGGGTCCGTGGAGTGTCGTGCTCTGTGCGCCGCGCGGACTCGCTCTGCGCCGCTGGAGGAGCCGGCGGCCGCTGGCTGCTGGGGAGCCGGGGCGGGCGGGAGGGTAACGGGGCCGCCCGGGGGGGGAGGGGGAGGGGAGGGGCGGGCGGGGGGCGCCGCACCGGGCGCACGGCTGGTTGTGGGGGGGAGAGGCTCGAGCCCGCAGCCCCCGGCTGGGCGCCGGAGCCGGGTCGCAGCTCCGGGCGGGGGCGGGGCAGCCCGGGGCGGGGCGGCCGCCGGGTCGAGGATTGGGGGGTCTGCCTTGGGGGAGGGGTCTGGCGGTCCCTCCCCCTGGCCTCCCCCCACCCCCCCGCGTTACGGTCGGGCCCCTCGCGTACTATCGGGGCCCCGGACCTCGCTGGGGGTTTGGGGATGGCGGGAGCCTCGGGCCACCCTAGGCAGCCTCCGGGTCCCCGTCGCTAAGTCGGTCTCGCGGATGCCGCCGGCTACACGGCCTGAATTGCGGTGCGATGGGACCCCTCGGCTGAGCACCCTAGGGTCACTTCTGCCCTGTCCTCTTCCAGACCACCCCCTCAGGAGCCGATTACGTGGAGGGGAGCGCCCAGAGGCCGCTGCCAAGACCCCCAGCCAGTTCCCCCCACATACACCCACACCGAGCAGGGGCAAAAGTAACTTCTGCCAGCGACTTTTCCCTGGGCAGGGGGCTGGATGGAGGCCTCCTAACCCGTGCCCGCGGGTGCCCCGTTGCTCTATCAGTTAGCCAGGTGTACCCTGCATGGCCTGATGCCTGAGAGGTGGGGGGAAGGTGGGGACTTGTGTGAGCCATTCTCAGCCCCTCACCTCACTGCTCCCGCAGCTTCCCGTTTCTGCCAGCCACAACAGGTGGCTGCTGTATTCAGTGGCCGCCTTCGCAGCCCCCCAACCATCACACACACCTCCCCGGGGTGGAAGGCTAGAGGGATCTCCGTGGGCGCAGGCAGTCCTGTCCAGCAGCAGATCTGGCCATTCCCTGCGCGCCACTCCCGACCCTAACTGCAAGGATTCGGCTCAGCGCACCAGGGGACACACGGAGTCCCTGGGCTGAAGACCTGGCCAGCCCTCTGAGGTCCAACCTGCCTAAGAAACTGCAGTCCGGAGCTGGGCAGGGCTCCACGGTGGGCAGGTAGTGTGTAGTGCGATTGATTGGACCGGCAGCAATCTCCCTGGGGGGCTTGCCTTCTACGGTGTCTGCAGAGGGCTGGCAAGCTCATGGGGAGGCAGGCCCCTTCTGGGGAGCTGGGGGGCTCTATTCCTTGGCTACGCTGTGTTTTGAGGCCAGTGGAGGGGAATCACCTGCAGCCAGGGGGAGGTCAGTTTTCTCACCTTGGCAACCTCATGCCCTGTGCACAGTAGGCCCTGCGAAAGGCTTGTGTGCATTAATGCGCACAGAAATGAATCAATAAATGAATGAATGAGTGAATTAACGAATGAAGAGATGGGGAGAATTCATAGAAAACAATTCCCCACCATGGGCACAGGAGGCACCAGGTGCTGTGTGCCTGGTCCGGGAGGCCACTCCCTGGACAGCACCTGGCACACCACCGTTGGGTTCTAGGCTTTGAATGATCCTGCACCACTCTCCCTCTGCAGGCCCAGTGGCTGGGCATCCCCGGAGCAACCCTCACCTCCAAGGGGGGGGACTCCCTGATGCTAGAATTCCTTGACTCCCAGAGCCCCGCCCACAATCTGAACCGTTGGCCAGTTCGCTGGCTTTCTTCTCTCCCCAAAATTTTGTGTCTCTGGGGGAGTGAGCAGGTGGGGGTACCCGGTTTGCCCGCCCTGCTCCACCCCATGACTGACAGATGCAAATGTCCCGGCGGGCCCCCGCAGGCCACTCACTCGCTGGCCCTCCCGGTCAGCTCACTCCTTCCTTTATCTTATCAAAGCCCAGTAATTACAATTGCTATTTTGTTTCCTCGAATCTGCAATCAGAGCTCCCGGGCCCAGATGAGGGAGTGCCTGTCAACCTGATCGCTGAGTGACAGCCCGGCCACCTTCCCTGGCCGCCCCCACACTCCGCAAACACAAACACACACCCGCGCCGCACACACACACTCCCTCGCCAGCAAACACAAACACACACTCCTCGCCAACACAAACGGCCGCTTCTCCGCAAACACGCCCTCGCCGGGGCCCAAACACACACACACACACACACACACACACACACACACAGTGGGCTGCGCTTTGGGCCCGCGTGCGCTTCCCCACACCTTGGGCGCTCCTCCTGTGCGCCCGGGCGACCAAAAAGCAGGGCCCGCGCGGGCGGGGCGGGAGGAAAAACAACCCCCAGCTGTGCCCGCGGAGCACCCCGTCGGGCCGGGCAACTTGGGGACCGAAGGACCGATGTGGATTGGGCCCTCACTGCGGGTGGGAATGCGCTCCGAGTCTGCAAGGCACACGGACGAGGAGGAGGTGGAGGACTGGCGTGATCAGCCGCGGCGCGAGCGTGAACTCCGGGGCGGCCCCGGCGCGCGGCTTCTCCGGAGATGACTTGGCACGGGGCTCGGTCGGTCTCCAGCCTAGCACGTGGGAGGGCGTAGGATGGCCCCACGAGCCCTCTGAGGGCATGCATGCGTGCGAGCTTAGCTGACTGTGTTCCCTCGCTTTCTGCCCGCGGTTCACCCACGGTGAACTCCCCGCGCGGAGCGCACGGCTCGTGGGCTCTCCCACCCCGCGCACGCCAGCCGCTGGTGCTCCCAGCCTCGCCCACCAGAGGGCGCCAGCCCCGCCTGTCCACTCTGTGCATATTGGATCCCGGAGGCCGCTGGTCCCAAGCAAGCCTAGCTGCCCCCTCAACTAGGCTCCCGTGGGAGACCCTCAGGAAAGTCTTTTGGAGAAAAGAGGGCACCGGGAGCATGCAAATGAGAGCATCTTCCGTTGTCCTTAGCTAGAAGCCAGGTTGAAAACTGGATCCCGGGGCCTGGCACAGTAGCCTAGCTAGTCCTCACCTTGCACACGCTGGGATCCCATAACGGCGCCAGTTCTAATCCCAGTGGCCCCACCTCCCACTCAGCTCCCTGCCTGTGGCCTGGGAAAGCAGTCGAGGATGGCCCAAAGCCTTGGGACCCTGCACCCGCGTGGGAGATCAGGAAGAAGCTCCTGGTTTTGGATTGGCACAGTTCCAGCTGTTGTGGCTACTTGGAGAGTGGATCAGTGGACACAAAAGCGTCCTGTCTCTCATCTTCTCTATATATCTGACTTGGCAACTAAAAAAAAAAGAAAAGAAAGAAAGAAAACTGGACCCACAGTAAGGAAGGCAAAAGAAAAAAAAATCCCCTTCCTGGGGATGTGTCTTGCAGTGGGAGCACCTCAGTGCGGGGTAGGGCCAGGTGTGCCAACACTGACCTGTGCTGCCCAGGTGCCAGCCCTAGTTCTCCCCCTTGCCCAGGAGCTGGCCTGACGCCCACCAGACCCTGCTCTCAGTCCATCCTCAGCCTGTCTGGCCCCAGGCTGTCTGGGAAGGTAACCCTTTAGTTTGTTTATTTGTTTGTTTGCAGGACATTCACACCCCCTCACACACACATACCCATCAACACAGCTGCTGAACTGCTGACCCCAGTGCTGGTCACTTAGGCACCTTCTTACCCAAGGCCCTCCCTGGCACAGCAGCAGGCAGGCCCCAGAACCAATCCGCGATCCTGCGGCGCCCCACCCAAGCCAGCCGACTGATTCCCAGGGGGTCTTTCTGCCCCCATATGCCATAGGCCACCAGGATTCTGGTTTCCCTGTCACCCAGTCTGGTTAGTTCCTTCCATCTGGCTCCTGGAATCAGGTTTCCAAGGGCCCAGCCTGCTCAGGAGGGTGGCTGGCAGGACTGAAAGGAGGGGTGAAGGCTGGTCCCCACCCCACCTCTCACCAGCCTTCCTGGGTTGGAGCCCCCTCCCCGGGGCAAGGGATGTGCATTCCTCAGACTGCTTATCTGTCCCCTGCCCATCAGCCAGAGTGGTGACAGAGGCCCGGGCCCCTTGTTTGGACACTGATAACCTCCTGCAACGGCCCTCCCCCATCTGCAGGGGCTGGCAGCCTGCTGGCCGCTGGGAGGCCTCTTCTAGCAGTTGGGAGGGGGGCAGGCCAGGGCTGCCTCAGCTCAGGGCCCTAGGGACAGAAGGGTTCCACTTTCCCCCCCCCCATTCCCCCTGGTCCCTTGGTGCTTCCACAGTGCCACCTGGTGGTCCCTAGGGATATATCATCCGTCTGAGAAGAAGTCACACAAATGAGCTGCAAAAACCACCCTAGGCCAACTTTATTGCAATTGTCATCCAAAAAAAAAAAAAAAAATTGTAAAAAGTGTTTTTTTTAAAAATGCCTTCTTGCGAGCTGCCAACACCACCTCCAACCTGCGGAGGGAGGTGAGGTGACAAGGTCAGGACTGAAGGTCAGAATTCCTCACAGTCCTGGAGAAGAGGGACACACCAGGCCTGGTGCAGCCCCTGTCACTCCCAGCCCCTGTCCCCAGGCCTGCTCTTCAATGGAGAGAAATGTGACATCCTTGACATGTGTCCAGGAACGTGGTGCAGGGCGCACACAACAGGCAGCTAGCTAACCTGCAAACAGCACAGGGGGGATCAGCATCTAGGCCCTCCCGTGCTCCACCCACCGGGTGCTCCTCCGTGACTCACCCAGAGGGGCTAAGGCCTGCCCCCCTGCTTTTTGGCTGGCAGGATGGGGCACAGCTCAGCATCCTCCCCGTCAGTCTCTTCTTCCTCACTCTCCTCTTCTTCGGAGGTATCATTGCTTATGGTAACTGGGGGACAGACAGCGTGTTAAGGATTAAGACCAAACTGCCCACACCCTGTAGCGCCCACTCGGGTTGTGTGGCGCTAGGCTCCCAGGGACCATGACCTCCCCAAGCTCAGGATGGGTGGGTGACAGAAGCCAAGCACCCGTGTCACTGGGACAGGTTTCATGGAGGGCACATGGTGGAGACAGAGCCGAGCTGCAGCTGGGCAGCAGGCTGATGGGGAGCCCCCTGGGTGAGGGCAGAGGAGAGTGCCAGGCCCTCGGCTCACCAATCTGGTGCCGCCCAGTGATGCACACGGGGCCCGAGCCGGACTTCAGGCGGAAGGTGACAGGTGGTTGGAGCTGGAAGTCATCCAGGCTGAGCTGGAAGATCAAGGCTTCGGGTGACCCTTGGGGGCTGTGACCAGTACTAAACTCCCCCACCCCCGACGCACCCGAGTGCAAGCACTCGCAGGGTGATCTGAGAACTCACCATGGGCTGACAGGACAACCTGAGGTTGGCCACAGGGACTGCAATCTCTTGGTGGTCATGGCTCCGGGCCACCACTTCTACGACGTTACACTCCTCCTTGGCCCCCTCGGTGAGGCAGAGCTGGGAAGGGTACATGGGCCCCCAGGAGGACCGCTGTGGTCACACAGGTGCCTGGGTTCCCTGGCTAGAGCAGCTGCCAGGGTGGGGAGGAGGGGATTGGCGGCTTGCCCAGGAGGTCCTCCTGCCACCCCCTCTGTCGCTCCTCACCATGGTCAGTGCCAACACGTGCTCCGCGTCATCCTCTTGCTCCACCTTGAAGGTGAAAGAGCGCGTCTGCCCGGAGAGCTCGCAGCCTGGGAGAAAGCGTGGGTGTGCCTGAGTGCGCGTCTCGGGGTGAAGGGGGGCGTTCCTTCACCGCACCGCAGTCACGTGCAGCCATGGCCCGCCAGCTGCCCCAACTCGCGCAACTCCTGGCCCTGGGTCGGCTTCACCGGGCTGCAGCAAGGGTCCCGGCGCTCGAGAGGCCGGAGCTGGGCTCCCTCTCCGCCACGCACAGCGAGGCAGCCCCGCGCCCCACCCACGACGCGCCGGCAGCCGCACTCCCGCCCCTCCTCCCCGCCTCGTGCAGCCCAGCACCGCCCTCCGCCCCCTCTTCTCCCGGGTACCGAAGAAGAAACTGTCCATAGTGACTGGGGCCGGAATGCGAAGAGGCCCGACAGCCCCGGCCCGGCCTCGACTCTCCTGACTTAGGACGGCCAAGGCGGCGGCAGCGCCGGCAGCCATGCTGCAAGGGCAGTGCCCAGACCCCGCCCCCGACACGTACAAAGCAAGGGACCCTCCACCAGTTCCGGCCCCGCCTGTTAAAGGAGACGCTCCGGGATGGGAGCCCCAAGGCACCCAGAGCGCGCCGACCCGCCGACCCCAGCCCGTCTCGCCCCGCAGCGCCCGGGCTGCGGGAAGAAGGGGACTTCACAGTTTGCGGGGAAGGCTCATTTCTCCTTCCACGGGGCCGTCCCTCTAGTTGTCTCTACTCCCACCCATAGGAAGTCCTAGGCAAGGGGGTGTAAATCTCAGCGTGAAAATCTTCCCTACTCCCTCCCCCGGTGAAGACTCCCAAAAGCTCAAATCTGTTTTGTCGAGGGCGGGGAAAGGCAAAGCCGATTCCCAGCTTGAGGAATTCCCACGCAAGCCCTCAGCAGACGTGGGCGTGGGCTGAGGGCCGGTTAACTGGCATGCCTGTACCTCAGTCAGCTCAGCAACATCCCTCACCCCAACTTAGCGCCGCTCCCTCCAGCTTTCACGCGCCCTGAGTAACCAAAAAAAAAAAAAGGCAAACTATCCTCTGCCTATCCTATCAGACCCACGGGTCACAGGTCCCGCTGCTTCGTAACCAGGCTGTGACGGGCTGGAGGTCTAGTCGCTGTGCCCTGCGCTTGGCCTTGACCGGCCTGCAGGGGCGCAGGAAGGGGCCAGGAGCAGTCTCCCACTGCGCCAACAGGGAGAGTGGAAGAAGTCAGTGCACACAGTACACGCATTCATTTCAAGTTTTATTTTGCCTCTTGCATGGTCTTCAGATAGGTTTTACAGTTCGTTTTCTACAGGAACTGAGTTGTGATATAAACAATCAATGAAATGTCATTCCAGCTTTAATAAATATTCATAACCATGGAAGACAGCTCTTTGCAATTCTAGTGTGCCGACGGCATACACCCAGACAGCTGTTTCATACGGTTAACACTTGCGACCAAAACTAGTCAAGATGATTCTTACAAACCAAGATTAAAAAAAAAAAAAAAAAAAAAAGCAACTTTCTGAAAATCCTGATTGTTACAAGGTTGACCCTGAAATCCTCCGAGTAAAATGCTATCTATCCACTAGGTTTTGAGGTGTCCTCAAACATAACCCTGATTATTTTAGCCTCTTTAACCTTCCTCTCGCACCAGGCTGGGCGCCTCCTCCGCTGTTTAGAGCCAGTTCTTGCCTCTCTCCTCTCGCCCACTCAGTCTGCACGCTCGGGTGGAGTACCACACTGAGTCTCTCAAAGACCGCACTGGTGGCATTCTGTGAAGAAAAATATTTCAAGTACGCTACACTCAGCTTAAAGTTAAACACCTGATGCAAAACTGCAGGAAGCAATGTGACTAACACAAAATCTATGGTTACAAGTCAACCAGCCATGACAGAAAAAAAGGAATCCTATAGAAATTACTGCCAGCCTCATGTTCAGAATCCTTAAAACACACAAATCTAAATTAAAACACATGAAGCTTCCAGACCTGTGATTAAAGGAAAAAGAGGGTAACCATAAATCATCGGTTCAAGTGTGCTCATTCTTTAAAAATTAGATATAAACATGCAAGAATTAAAGGCTTGATTTAATAAAACCAGTAGTGACAGGTCTTGAGATTACAGGACAACTGTTCTAAGGGCAAATGGGACCCACCAGTCCCCGGGCCCTGGCCCGACAGATGTCAGCTCTGTCATTTCACAGGCTGACCTGTCATTGACGTTCATTTTCAGAAGTGACTGCACTTTGCAACAGAGTCCCATGAAGTCAGGCTCTCGTACTCCAAGTGGTCGTGGCCTACCCCAAGGTGGGAGGCACTTGAAAAGTAATAGAACTTATAAAAAAATCAAAGATAACAAGAAAATCTACCTGCCACTGATTTACATTATTCAAAGTGCCATCCTGAATCCACACCCTTTCATTTTCAAAAGGAAAATTTACAAAAACTGTGAACACAAAGCAGTCAGTTACAGCGAGTAGTTTATATACAATGAATTTTACAAGTTTATCAATTTTAGGCTTTTGTCACAAACCAACTGCACATTTGTCCCTACAAAGCACAACAACCTGGAACCAATGGTCACTACAGAGGACAACTGGCCAGGCAGGGCTTTACAGAAAAATTGAAATCCCCCTGAACCAATGCCACAACCACCCCAACTTGAATCTTTACCCAGGAGCCTCTGAAATTCACTGTCACGCTTCATCTCCACAGAGCATGAGACTTCTCACTCAATACTGAAGATGACAAGAGTGATTTTAGGGGAGAAATGCAACCACACTGGATGCAGAAAATAGTGCTGACTACATTTATTAAGGAGCCCCCTTCCCTGCATGTACCCATGGAGGAGGTCCTGGTGACACCTAACACAACAAGATCCAAAGCCGCAGAAAGAGGCTCCAGCACAGCTCCACAGGACAGCTGCAGCATTACTATCCTCTTTCAAACAGTTGAGGAGTCTGCAGGTGTGATAGGTAAGTATACACAGTCTTCCTTGTTTCCAATTCAGTTGGTTTGATTTGTTGCCGTTTGAGAAGCTGAACTGTATGAAGACCCCAACCACCACCCACAAGGTGGAGTCAGGAGACTTTTGGACAGTTCACAGTGCCAACAAATGTCACAGGCTCCGACCGAGGATAACCACATCCTTCGGAAATCCTTCCATTTTTGCAATTTCAAAACACCCCAACTTGCTGTAAAACTCCAGAATTCTTTTATCATCTGGTCTCACTTCACAGAATGCCCCCCGAGAGCCTAGAAATAAAACAAAACATACAAAACACAAAATTATGAATATGGACTGTTAATCTTTAATAAAATAACAGGAGCTATCAGCTCCTAACTTTCATTATACAAGTTCTCCTATTTCAATATCTCATTATTAAAAGTTCATTATTAAAAAAATGAAAATGTCCTTACAAAACAAAAAAAGGCAAGGAACACTTCTGTTCAGAGACATTATAACCCCGAACTCTGTGAATTCTATGACTTACAATAAATTCTGCTTCAAATATAAAACTGACACCCACAAAGGACACCACCAACCCTTAAGATGCACTCTCAGGTATCAACAACTCTCCCAGCAAACTACTCATTTTCATATGGCCCAAGGCTAAAATGTTTGTTTTTACATTTTCAAAGGACTGTTTAAAATGCAAGCTGGCCCATGGCGTGGCCTAGCAGCTAAAGTCCCAGCCTTGAACGCGCAGGGATCCCATATGAGCGCTGGTTCTAATCCCAACAGCTCCACTTGTGGCCTGGGAAAGCAGTCCAGGACGGCCCAAAGCTTTGGGACCCTGCACTCGTGTGGGAGACCTGGAGGAGGTTCCTGGTTCCTCAGATTGGCGCAGTACTGGCCGTTGGGGTCACTTGGGGAGTGAATCACCGGACGGAAGATCTTCCTCTCTGTCTCTCCTCCTCTCTCTATATCTGACTTTGTAATAAAAATAAATAAATCTTTAAAAAAAATAATATGCAAGTCAAGATTATATGAAGCTCTTAAAAATTAACTTTGAATACCTGGTCCTTTAGAGAAAGTTTTCACACTGCTAAAGTAAAGCAAAGTACTTCTGAATATGGCTGAATTCAGATTAAAACACTAACAAAAATCCTAAGGTTTCTTTCTTTAGGTTCATTTAAAATTTTCAGCTATTTCAGCAAAAGAAATGTTAACCGCACGTGCTCACTTCTGATTTAATTAGCATTCACAGTAAGAGTTCATAGTGGAGGATATTTTTCCGTGGTTGACAGAAGGAATTCATTCACCATTAACAATTTAGAAACAAAACGTAATTATTGGGGAAGGAGCAGCATAAACTTCACTTCTTTCCACTGTTATCCTGAAATATAGTCCTGTCTGAACACTACGCCGCCATATGCACTCACCATTAGCCTTCAGTGAGGACAGAAGACAAGCCATCATGCTTTTGGCCACACTTGGGTCAGTTACTTTTTTGTGAATATCCATTTTTATCAGAGAAGGAAAGTTGGCAAGGAAAGTTTCGGGTAACACTTCCTGTTCTTCATGGAAACTTAGCATTATTTTCTGTAAAAAGAAAGAATTAACTTCTTCACTTTCATTAATTACTTATCTACAGAGGGGAATGTGCTACTTCAGAAACTATTCTTATGCAGGTCAACAATATTTTCTGAGCCTGTTGCAGTAGCCTAGTGGCTAAATCCTCGCTTTGCATGTGCCAGGATCCCATATGGGTGCTGGTTTGTGTCCCAGCTGCTATCTTCCCTTCTGGTTCTCTGCTTGTGACCTGGGAAAGCAGAAGAGGACGGCCCAAAGCTTTGGGACCCTGCTCCCACGTGGGAGACCCAGAAGCAGCTCTGACTGCTGCAGCAACTTGGGGAGTGAACCAGCAGTGGAAGATCTTTCTCTGTCTCTTCTCTCTGTGAATCTGCCTTTTCATAAATAAATAAATAAATAAATCTTTAGAAAAGTACATAAATCATTGAAAAAACATATATTGATTCTTAAATTTATTTTCATGTCATTTAAAACATAGGACAGGAACAGACTGAAAGAGATGGCGTTCATCTGCCGGCTCACTACTCAAATTCCCATCAAAAACCAGGCTGGGACAGGCCAAAACTCATAACCCAGAATTAAGTGGGGACCCGACCCAGGAGGGCAAGGACCACCTTCTACAGCTATCATCTGTTCCCTTCCAGGGTGCAACGAACAGGAAGCTGGAGCTGAGAGCAGAACTGGGAGTTGATGCAAGGATTCAGACATGAGACTTGTGCCAAACACCTATCCAGGAGCGATTTCACAACGATCCACTTACTCTCCTATTAATCAGAAAATAATAATAAAACCACTGCCACAGCACAATTTTAAATCCAAGCATTACCTCAGCTTCAGAGAGTTCTTTGTCACCATTCGGCTTGGTATATTTTTCCTGCATGAAGGGAATCCAGGAAATTTTACATTTCTTAATGAACGGGGTCACATCTACAGTCCCCAGAGCATAACCACAGATGCCATCTTCATCTTCTAGAACAAAGCAGTAATCCAGGCTTAGGGAAAGCAATCCTCCTACTAACCTGCTCAGAAGGAAAAAGATCAGTGAGCCACTGACGACTAATTCAGACTTCAGTAATGCAAGAGCTAATGCATTTGAAAAGCAACTTGTGGAAACTACAATTCAATTCAAAGAAAGTAAAAGTGCACACATTAATTCTGAGATTTTACAAAAAACAAAGTGGGATTTCAAAAAAATTTGCATCCCAAGGCCGGTGCAGTGATGCAGTTGATAGAGCAGCCACCGCAATGCCCGGCACACAGCACTGGTCTGAGTCCTGGGCACTCTGCTTCCAATTCAGGAAATCGACTCATCACCTCCCCACAAGTTGATAAACCTATAAAAATGTCTACTCCCAAATCCAAACAATCATCACATACTTGTCTCCAATGAGGTCAGGCTGACTTTGAAATGGTAAACCCACTCCATCATCATACATTTCTCTGCAAATCTTGTACACGGAAGCCTGAAAATATAATCCAGTTAAGTGACATTTCAAGAAAAATGGCAACAAAATCTAATATGACTCCTAAATCAGCCTGGAGGAGAGTAACAAACTGTCTGTCCTGTCAGAACTACCACCACTGCTTTGCTTAAAAGATATTTAAGCACTAAGTCAGATTAGCAGAACCAGTGGAAAACAACCCAATTTTAATATACATTAAGAACTGCTATATAAGAGACAGTTTCTGATAGTAAGCAAACTTGAGAATCTCTCAATTCTCTAAGATTTCTAAGGGGTCAGCACTGGTTCAAGTCCTGGCTGAACCACTTCTGATCGTGCTCTCTGCTAACACACCTGGAAAAGCAGCAGAGATGGACCAAGTCTTTCGGCCTCTGCACCCACCTGGGAGACCCAGATAAAACTCCTAAATTTAGGCCTGCTCACTGGGGACTTAACTAGCAGATAGAAAATCTTTCTCCCTCCCTTTCTCTCTCTAGCTCTATATCTTAAAAAATTTCCAAAACATTCTACTAAACATATTACCATTTTTCAACAGGTTTGCTTGTTTTTCCTATAGCTGATTCACAGCCTGAATGTACTTCACAACTGAACATTACAGAATATACTGGAGAAAAATCAGTCAACTATAACATTCACCATTTGGATAGTTTTGTAAATCCAACTCTGTATTTCACCTGGATTTTTTTTTAAAGGGACTTTGGACAATATATTACAAGTCCTTATTATTATTGTTTTTAAATATTTAATTTTATTGGAAAGGTAGATTTATAGAGGAGAGATTAAGATCTTCCAGTTGCTGGTTTACTCCCCAAGTAGCTGCAATCCCAAAGCTTTGCTTACCCAAAGCAAGGCACCAAGAGCTCCGGGTCTCTTACGTGGCTGCAGGGGCTCGACTTGGACCATCCCCTATTGCTTTCCCAGGCCACAAGCAGAAAGCTAGATTGGAAGTAGAGCAGCCAGGACTCAAACTGGTGCCAATATGGGACACTGGTGCCACGGGGTGGAAGATTAGCCTGCGGAAGCTCAGCATCAGCTCCACGAATCCTTAATTTAAGGAGTAAGAAATCTTTAGGTTCAGGCCCAGTGTTGTGGCACAGCTGACAAAATTTTATCTGCAGTGCTGGCATCCCATTTTGGGACCAGTTCAAGTCCTGGCTGCTCCAATTCTCACCCAGCTCCTGACTAATGTGCCTAGGAAAGCAGTGGAAGATGACCCAAATCCTAAGGCTCTGGAGCCCACATAGGAAGCCTGAAAAAAACTCCTCGCTTCAGATTAGCTCAGCTCTGACTGTTGCATGCATCTGGGGAGTAAATTAAAGGATGGAAGATTTCTCCCCCTCTAGCTCTGCCTTTCAAATATATAATAAACAAATATTAAAAAAGAAACAAAAACCTTTAGGCTCTTCCTTTTACTCTAGGTTTTCCATTCTTATGCTAAATATTTTAATTAACTTTCTCCTATATTTTAAACCTAACATTGTTTTCAACCAGTGATTTGAAGGGAAAATTATGAATGTATACTGTAGCTACATGCCACAGTGGTATGTAGACAATTACCTCATCTTTAGGAAAATATGGTCTGATAGTATAAACTTTGGAGGTAGGAGTCAGTGGGGGTGGTTGAAAAAAGAGATCATTTGCCCCATCAATTGGCAACAATCGCTGTGGGAAGAAAAAAAGGAAATGGTTTAGTGACAGAAAAATACTCTTTTCTTTACATGGGTGTGCACTGCAGACTACCAACTTAACATTAACTGGCTACTGCAGGCAGACCTAAAGAAGAGGGGTGTACTATGCTTTACTCATATAAACACCTCTTTGCTGGGGGAGGGGAGTGCTTCTGAATAGAAACTACCCAAACTGAATTATATGGCTTTAGTGGCATATTAATTTAAATTTATAGAAAAAACAAACAGAAACAAAAGCAAAAACTATTTCAATTAGGACAGGTCTATGGTTTTTTTTTTCTTTAAACTGATCTTAAATAGACCATCTCTCTATTAGAAGATGGCAGAACAGAATGTCAGGAGGAGAGGTTTGGTCTGAAGAGGGTTATCTGTCCAGGAGACGCTTTATCCCCAAAGCAATGCGCTTCAGTTTGCTGTGCGCAGCAGAGCACCTGTTGGGGGGAGAAAAGTAGAGCACCTGAAAGTCCATGAACAAATTCAAGCAGCAAAAATCCTTCCTATTTTTGGAAACTTTCATTAATAGGCTATTTTTAAGCTTACGTTGTAATTATAAAATAAAGAACAAATTATTTAAAAGCCCTTTCACTATTCACTGGCATCATTAATCATTGTTTTTGCTCATGGAGTTTCCGCTGGCAGACAAGCATGCGCGCATTGTGCATTGCGGGCGCAGATTAAATGCTGTGCGACCTGCAAAGAAACAATGTGAAGTGTATACCTAGAGCCGCTGCGCTTCGCAGGCGCGGGGGGATTGGCAGCATCTCCTTCAGAAATTACTGTGAAAGAGGAGGGAAAATTTGATTTAAAATCCAGCTATGTAACTAAATTGAATTTGGGACTAGAAAGCCTTCGGCAGACCAATCCTTCCAGCCATCTGATGCGCAACATAAGGGTTTCTCATAAAACAAAGAAAATGTCAATTCAGTTGTGAATTCATATTGATACCTGGAACTCTCCTGCTAGACCACCTCTAAAGGCCCAGGGTTCTTGGTCTCCAATTAAGAACTGTGCTGAAGAATGACTACGACACCCTGTTGAGATCAGATCCAAGCGGAGAACGTTACGAGAAAGGGGATTTCCTGGGGTCTCAAATGTCCAACAGACCAACAAACACTTCGTGGAACTAGCTCTCTAGCAGTAGTAAACGGGTTTCAGGGCAAGGCTGTGATAATAATTACTTTTCAAAACTCAATAGTGATACTTCAATATAAAAACACCTTCTTCCAGTTCATGTGTAATCACTATTATCAGTCCTTTCCTTACATATTAGAAGGAAAGTCAGCCCCAAGTTAGTCTATGTTAAGCAGATACATTCCCTAAACACAGCTATTCAAATCAAGCCCATGGATTGCTCTTGTGTGAACTTATGATGAGAAATTTTATTATCACAGCCATGAAGGAACTAAACCTGTCTGAAGTCACATTTTACATTTTCAGGAAAGGTACAGGAAAGGGAGTAAGGAGTAGAGGGATAATCTTGTCAGAAAACTAAGGTCAGCAAAATAAATTTAAAAATTAAGGCAGCAAAATAAAACACGGTAACTTTTTTAGAACAAAGACAATCAAAATTCAGATGTGGCTAGTTATAACACCAGGCTGACTGATTTTGAGAAGCAAGAGTGAACCAATGCTTCAGGACTGAATAAAATATACTTCTGTAAAAGGATGAGGCATCTACTTCCTCCCATCAGCCATTATAAATGTTGCTATGCACTCAACACGTGCAGAACGACAGGCTTCCGGATCCACCAGCCAATATTTCAGGTCATTATTGAACCAACTTCACAATGTATCAAAAGCAAATGTTTAGATGCCAAACCAAAATCATCTGCCTAGTCTTCTGACAAGATAAAGCAGCGCAATATAGTTCTTTTCCATGGAAGACAGCATTCTACCTCCTGTTCAAGTTAACAATCTCATCAGTATGAAACATAGTGTGCTAGTCAGACAGTCCCAAAGCAAACCAATTTTTTGTTGACAATTCTGGTCCATTAAGAAATCATATCTGGATTTGTCATTTTAAGGGGTAGGGGTATTTTTTTAAAAGTGTAAAATGTAATATTTATAAAATAAATATGAAATAGGGTCCAAATTTAGATACACAGAGAACCTGCCCCATTTCATAACTCAGTGTAATTTACACTGCAGGAAAAAACCATACCTCTCCAACTTTAATATCAGCCAATTCCCCTACCCCCACACTTTGAGACTACAACGTAACTAGCACTTCCAACTATTACAATAGAGATGCTGCATATACGAAGAGCTGTATAAATGAAAACATGGTTAATGCCTCAGTCGCTGCGCAAACGTGACTTCAGTTCATGCCTACTGCCCTTCAATCTACCTGAGCTCCCTCACAGATAGAACCTTTCAACTTAAACTAATTTATCAGGACGCGCTGTGAACATCTGCCGCTGTCCATCCAATAGTAGTAGACACTTGTGCTGAGGACTCTCCCATCTGTACACAATGGGGAAGAAGATAATAGAAGTCGTTAGTAATCAAAAGTACTGCATAGCCACATTCTTTAAAGGACTGAATGCCAGCTGGACTGGAAAGAGGAGGGAAAACAAAGGATTCTGATCCTAACTCCCTAGCATTAATACAGAAGTCATGAAAAGCACTTTAACCTGCCAGGAGCTTCGATGAAGTGATGTGGCTGCAAAGATGACTACTTAACTCAAATGCTCTGATCCTGTCTTACGACTATCTGTACAATGCAGGTAAATTACTCCCACAATTGCACAGTACAAAAATAAAAGCCTGAGAAGAGAAAAACAATACTATACTGAATTATACCTTGAATGTCAAATGTTTTCAGTAATGTGCACTGAAGCTTGGTAACTCAGACTTTAGTTTCAAACTCCTTAAGGGCTTTGGAAATTGAGTCTAAATCCTAGTTACGATTAAGCAGAAGCCTAAAAAGCCAATGCTACCACCTAACAAAGAGGCTTTTGCTAAGCTTAAGAGCCACTGCCCTCCTCCAAAGTGGTTTTTAGCCACGTAAGAACATCATTTCCTCTAGGGCTGGGTGTCCTACACAGCAGGTGGAGATGCTGCTTGATGTTCACATGCCATTTCTGAGTGCCTGTTCTAAATCTTGGCTCTGCTTCAATTCCAGCTTCCTGCAGCTGCACACCCGGGGAGGCAGTAGCTGACAGCCTTAGTCCTCACCGCCCACGCAGTGAGGTCCCACAGTGACCTCCCAACTCCTAGCTTCAGCCTGGCCTGGACCAAGAGTGGACATCAGGGGAATGAACCCTGTAACAGATGCAAAATCTCCCCGACCACTCACCACCTTTTAGATTATTTAAAAAGATTTTCTTTCATTATTTTTAGTTTATGGCAAACCAAAGGAAATTGTATTTTCAAAAACAGAAGCTCTACTTTTAGCCAACTAATTAGTACTATTAGGTAAAAGAATTTTTTAAAAATATGTAACAACCTAGGTGACATAGCCTAGAAGCTAAAGTCCTCACCCTGAGCATGCCAAGATCCCATACGGGCACCAGTTCTAATCCCGGCAGCTCCACTTACCATCCAGCTCCCTGCCTGTGGCCTGGGAAAGCAGTCAAGCACAGCCCAAGGCCTTGGGACCCTGCACCGAGTGGGACACCTGGAGGAGGTTCCTGGCTCCTGGCCTTGGATCAGCGCAGCACCAGCTGTTGCGGTCACTTGGGGAGTGAATCATTGGACAGAAGATCTTCTCTGTCTCTCCTCCCCTATGTATATCTAACTTTGTAATAAAAATACATTTTTTAAAAGATTTATTTAACAATCTAAAATATTTAGACAGAGAGAAGGAAGCTTCAATAGTACTCATTGGTTACCTAAGCTCTCAGTGTTTCAGACATTAATTTCTTGACAAGCCCATGACGACTATGAAAACATGACATCTCAGTCAGCTTTGCTGCCTGCTGTGTGCTGGACATAAGTCCATTATATATCCCTTACGGCTGGATTGAAAACCTGGAAACGAAAATGAGGTCCCTGAAGAAACCTGGCCATGCTGGTGCTTTTCACCAATTATGAGGATTTTCAAAGAAAAAAAAAGTTTTCAAAGGAGACATACAAAAGTCCATTTAGTAAAACAAAAGTTTCAGGGAATTGCCATTTCTATCCCCTGCTAAAACCAATTACTTGGAAGAAATATAAAGAAAAAGCCACATGTAATAATACCCAGTAGCACCAGAATAGCCGTCCACTAAAGCTCGCATGCGCACAGGGCTGGGAGGATGGCCTCCTCTTGCCAGGCCCTTTAGGTCATTTCAGCAATTGCTCTGTTAAACACAGCATTAATGTTATGGAGACACAGCAAGCAGCAGAAAGCTTACAGAGTCACATTTCGTAGTGTCTCATCTCCAAATCAGATAAAGGAGGGGCAATTCCATCCAGGAAGCATTCAGTCGGAGCAAGTTAAAGTCAATACTTTCTAACATATTTTTCAAGATACTTATGTGGAATTAGCCCAAGGGAGAAAAATTTTGTGCTTAATATAATTAGTGAGACTTGCACACCTCAAGTCTTCAACTGTGCCTACCTTTGAAAGACATCCAGGCAATGAACTGAAGATTTGGAAATTCACCAATTCCCTAAAAGTTTTTCTCCCTATGGGATAATTTTTTAAGGGACAATACATGAGGTGAAGAGATTCGTCTTGGTATACCTACCTAACCACTGTACAAAAGACTTCACCATAGACATTATACTCTTGATATCCCAAACATAGGAGTACATGTCATAAAGGATTGTCCTGTTGGCACAGTTGGAGAGCCGAGTGAACATTCCCATCACAAGTCCACACATCTCTTCAAATTTGGCTGCTCGTGATCGCCATTCTTCAATCTATTGAGAATCCAAAACAAACAAAAATCTGTCAAACTACTGCACATTTAACAAAATAATCACAATAATCTAAGACACAGTTATAAAATACTTGCTACCAAATACTTGCAACTTACACTAACCAAAGTATTGCTAGTTTAAGCTCCAGTAAATAATTGTTTTGTTTCTTTTTTAAGATTTATTCTTATTGAAAAGGCGGATATACAAAGAGAAGGAGAGACAGAGGAAGATCTTCTGCCCAATGGTTCACTTGCCAAGTGACTGCAACAGCTGGAACTGAGCCAATCTGAAGCCAGGAGCAAGGAACTTCCTCTGGGTCTCCCACACGGGTGCAGGGTCCCAAGGCCTTGGACTGCCCTTGACTGCTTTCCCAGGCCACAGGCAGGGAGCTGGATGGTAAGTGGAGCTGCCGGGATTAGAACTGGCGCCCATATGGGATCCTGGCGCGTTCAAGTCAAGGACCTTGAAGACTACGACATTGCGCTGGGCCCACAATTTTAGTTTCTACCTCCAGAAAACAAGAAATAATGCTGAAATAAGCCAAATAATGACTTTCTCCCATTCCTAGCTACAAAATGAAACTATGCAAGCGAAGACAGCAAATTTAACAAGTTGATGTCCACATGAAACAGCAAGTTCTAAAATGCTGTCACGGGCCTGGTGCATAGCCTAGTGGCTAAAAAGCCTCACCTTGCATGCACTGGGATCCGACATGGGTGCCAGTTTGTATCTCAGTGGCCCCACTTCCCATCCAGCTCTCACTTGTGGCCTGGGAAAGAAGAGGATGACCCAAAGCCTTAGGACTCTGCACCCACATGGGAGACAAGGAGGAGGCTCCAGATTTCAGATTGGCTCAACTCCAGCCGTTACAGCTGCTTGGGGAGTGACTCAGTGGACAGAAGATCTTTCCTCTCTAACTCTCCTCCTCCTCTCTGTATATCTGACTTTCCAATGAAAACAAATCTTAAAAGGAAGAATGTGATCACAGCTGTAACAATGGTGCAGGGCGTTAAGCCCCCACCTATGAACCAGCATCCCACGCATTTGTCATTTTGGGATGGATGGATTCAGTTCCTCAGTCTTGGCTCTGGCCTGGCTCAGCCCACCATGGCTGCCACGTGGGGAGTGAAGCAGCAGATGGAAGACCTCACTGTCTTTCCCTCTTATTCTGTAACTGCCTCTCAAATAAATCTGTGCAAAATATAAATCTCCTTCACATAACCAGGCTACTGAGGCAGGAAAATTAAGCACACTCACCTTTTCAGAGTCTTTCCCTTTGCAATTGACACTGACAACACTGCTATTTGCTCGGAGCCACTGGAACTCCCGTAACATCTGTGCTCCTTTGGGTCCATGCTCGTAAGGAAGGTAGAACAGATCAGCAAGTAACTGCAAGTCCTCTAGAGTCACTGGCTCAGCTGTGTACAAAGGCTTTTCATTTGGACCTGGCACAAACTGCTCCTTGTTTGTCTGCTCGTCAGTCTGCATGGGGGCAATGTCACTGATGCAATCTTCCTGCATAGACATCTCTGGGGATTTTGATTCCGCCAGGCTCTCTTTATCAGTGTCCATTGGCTTCAATTCCTCTGCCATTTTAGCTTCAACAATTTCAGTTAGTATTTGACTGTCATTCTTGTGGTCTGCTTCTTCTTGTTTTTCTACGGCCATGTCCATGGGCTCCTCATCTGGCTGTTTCTTTTCTTCTTCCTTGCTCAGAGGGGAAGGGTCACTATTTAAAGCTGCTCCTTGGCTCATAATGGGCTCCTGGTAAACTGTTGTGACTACCGTTGTAGCATTTAAAGAAGGCGCTGCCACTAAGGGAGTCCCATCCACGACACTTGCTTTAGCTCCACTGTGTGCAACTTGCCTACCTACAGACAGACACAAAGAATTGGAAAGAAAAGAGATTAGATTTAAGAAATGTTTCTTTTTATCAACAAATCTCTAACTAGAACCTTAGCTTGAAATTCCAAATTGGGCCCAGCATGGTGGCCTAGCGGCTAAAGTCCTCCCTTGAATGTGCCGAATTCCTTATGGTCACCGGTTCTAATCCCAGCAGCTCCATTTCCCATCCAGCTCCCAGCTTCTGGCCTAGGAAAGCAGTTGACAGCGACCCAAAGCCTTGGGACCCTGCACACGTGTGGGAGACCCAGAGGAAGTTCCTGGCTCCTGGCTTCAGATCAGCTCAGTACTGCCCGTTTCCGTCGCATAGGGAGTGAATCATCGACGGAAGATCTTCCTCTCTTGTCTCTCCTCCTGTCTGTATGTCTGCCTTTCCGGTAAAAATAAAAATAAATCTTAAAAAAAGAGAGAGATTCCAAATCATTGGAATCCTGAAAAAAAAGGACAATTTCTCTAAACCATCAACAAGGCAGGGATTTAACAGGGTGAAGAGATAAACAGGGAGTAAGTACATATCCCAAAACATGCCAAGACCTATTATTTTCTTGCCACCCGACTGCTTTTCAACACAAATAATTAGTTCAAACTCACATTTTATCAAGATAAAAGTTTAAAGCAAAAGTAGCATTTCTAAAAACAGTTAAGTCACTACATTTCATTTTGCCAAGAGGGCTATAAAGTAAGGCAGCTGGTAGTTCTTATTTGGTTTTTTTGGAACTAAATCATATGATCAAATCCTCTTGCAGGCAGGCAACTGGCCTAGAAGTTAAAACTGCTGCTGAAAGATCCTCCTTTGTCTCCCCTTCCTCTATATATATCTGACTTTGCAATTTTTTTTTTTTTTTAAAAAATCGCTGCTGAAGCATGCCTGCATCTATAAGCAGACAGCAGGGTTCACACCTGGCTCCACTACAGCCTCTTCTTACTGCAGATCCAAGGAATTAGGTTGTCACCCACGTAGGAGGCCTGGACTGAATTCCTAGCTCCTGGCTTGGTGGCCAGTTGGAAGGTCACTGGGTACTTTGGGGAAGTTGTTAATGGATGGGAGTTTGTTCTCTCTGGCTTTCAAAACCAAATGGAGGGGAGAATCCCAGTGCCTATAGAACTGTGTCACATAATACAATGTAATTAATAATAATAAATAAAATAATTTTTAAAAAAAACCAAATAGCAGAAATACCCTTATTAAAGAATGCCAAACTCACTGCTGTATTGATGAGGTACACCGAACTCCTGTAACCATTCTGTTAAAGCTAGCTTCAGAGCCATCTGTGGACTATAGAGTACATCAGTTTCGATATCTTCATCACTGCCTTCATTTTCCAACTTTATCTGTATTGATACAGTACTGTCTTCACTGTCAGCTGCAAACAAACAAAAGAAAAAAGCATTAAAATTAAAATAGCTTTGATCGCAAGACTCCTGACAATCAGAAAGGATAAATACAGCTGGTTGTTCTAACACAAACATTGAGGCAAAGAGCTAGAATAAAACCCAATCCTAAAAATAAAAAAATGTAGGGTCCAGCACAAAAATGTAGCAGCTAGAGTCCTCCTCGCCTTGAACACGCCGGGATCCCATATTGGCACAGGTTCTAATCCTGGCAGTCCTGTTTCCCATCCAATTCCCTGCTTGTGGCCTGGGAAAGTGGGAAAGCAGTCAAGGATGGCCCAAGGCCTTGGGACCCTGCACCCATGTGAGAGACCCAGAAGAGAGAGGCTCCTGGCTTCAGATTGGCTCGGCTCCAGCTGTTGCTGTCACTTGGGGAGTGAACCATCAGACAAAAGTTCTTCCTCTCAGTCTCAACTCTGCAAATCTGCTTTTCCAATAAAAATAAAGAAATCTCAAATAAATGTAAATACAACCAAAATCTTTCAAAAGAATATTTCAATCAGAAGCTACCTAAATGGGTTATTAAACATAAAATCTCAAATGAAATAAAATGTAGTAACTTAAAAGGCTCAGTGTAAGTTAAGCCTCTGCCTGAAGGGCCAGCAACCCATGTGGGCACAAGTTCAAGTCTGAACTGCCCCACTTCCAATCCAAATCCCTGCTAATGTAATTGGGATAACAGCAAAAGACAGCCTAAGTCCTCAGGTCCCTGCACTCATGTGAGACACCCAAAAGACGACCAGGTTCCTGTCACCAGTCTTGTCCAGCTCTGGCTGTGGAGGCCATTTGGGGAGTGAATAAAGGATGGAAGATTCTTCTGTCAACCTGCTATTCAAATAAATAAATCCTTAATAAAATAGTAAACTTTAGAATTAATGGAGAAGTCCACTTAGTACTAGTGACTAAGAAATCAGTGTTTAAGCATTACACTGTCCATTAAAAAAACAACTTTCCTAGCCTTCAAACTTCATTATTAATAAAAATATTGAAAAGAAAGAAATTCACAGAGCTCACATCACATATGACCACAGATAAAGCTATGAAGCTCTGAACGAGGACAGCATCAAGTAGAGGAAATTTAAGTCTAAACTTTCTTGCTTGGTATTCAAAAACCAGTCCCTTTTTCTGGTTGATGTCTACCACTCCTTAATGAGCTTCATACTCTGCCTTGGAAGATATGGTACACGAGGTTAACCCACCACTGGCAAAGTGGCATCTTTTATTAGAATACAATAGTTTGAGTTCCAACTACTTTACTTCCTATCCAGCTTCCTGCTAATGCACCTGGAAGGCAGTGGAGGATAGTTCAATTACTTGGGCCCTGCCACCCATGTGGGAAATCAGGATAGCTTCCAGTTTCTGCCTGGCCCAGCCTGGGCTATTGCAGCCACTAAATGAACGAACCAGTAGAAGGAATATCCCTTTCTTTTCCTTCCTTTATTGCTCTTTCAAAGAAAATAATCGTAAAACAAAACAGATATAAAACAAAACAAAACAGATATAAAAGCTAAGTACCATGTATACAGGAGACTGAAATAATATTCGTAATTTGGGGAGATTCTTAAGATTTATTTTTTATTTTTAATACTAGTCTTATCCACTTTCCTGTAGCCCTTGAACCTTTTTACCCTAATTGGCTATGTAAAGATTGTCAAAATAAAATAAAAAAAATAATTATTAAAAAAAAAAAAAGATTTATTTTTTATTTTAAAGGCAGAATCTCTCTCTGACACAGACACACAATACATACACCTTCCATCGACTAACTCACTCCTAAAACGGCTACTACAGCTAGGACTGAGCCAATCTGAAGCCAGGAACCAAGAATTTCTCCCTGGTCTCCCACACAGGTACAGTGTCCCAAGGAATTGGGCCACCCCCACTGCATTCGTAGGACATAAGCAGGGAGTTAGATACGAAGTATAGCAGCCAGGACTAGTACCGGAGCCCACATGGGATTCCAGTACTTGCAGGTAGAGGATCAGCCAACTGAGCCACCTGCTGGCCCAAAATTAAATGAATTAAAAAAAAAAAAAAGAAGTTGAGGACTTGGCACAATGGCCAGTGGCTAAAGTCCTCATCTTGAAGGTGGACGGTTCCCTGTGGGCGCCAGTTATAATTCCGGAAGCCCCGCTTCCCATCCAGCTCCCTGCTTGTAGCCTGGGAAAGCAGTCAAGGACGGCCCAATGCTTTGGGACTCTGCACCCACGTGGGAGACCCGGAAAGAAGTTCCTAGCTCACGGCTTCGGATCAGTGCAGCACCAGCCGTTGCGCTCACTTCAGGAGTGAATCATTGGACAGAAGATCCTCCTCTCTGTCTCTCCTCCTCTCTGTATATCTGACTTTCCAATAAAAATAAATAAATCTTTAAAAAAAAAAAAAAGAGGCCAAGACGTTATATGAACATCCAGCCTTTCTTCAATCATACCCATACTTCATTAATAGAAATGAACCAAACACTTTCAGCAAACCTCTTACATTCAATGACAAAGGGACGCATATTGGAGAATGGTTCTAGTTAACCCAGCTATCTTTCCAAGGCCCACAATGAGAATAAGTTACTTACTCATCACTACATCTTTTCTTACTCCATTCATGTTTGACTTGTACCAGGTGGCAAGCGTGTGGATGGCAACATAGTTGGCTTCAAATTCACAGTTGGGATTAGTGAGGACTCCTTTTAGCCGTGGGATAAGTTCTGTGGATCGTCCTTTGTATGGGCCCAGAAATAGTCTCTTCTGATCATAATCATTAGCATGAATGTTATCCCAAATTACTGGAGCCCTCTTAATGATCTTCGAAACCTCTTCAATGGATTCCACTGGAATTTCTTTAGAAACAACTTTTGGACCTAGAAATAATAATCACCATTTACTAAAAGCATCTCACATATGCTTCTCTGAAACAGACTGCACATGTAAGTTTGTTTTCCTTATAGTTGTATATTTAGACGTGATAATTTGGGATCAATATGCTTTATTTAAGTTACCTTAATTCATTCAATACAACTCATTATCATGCTTACTACAAAACTGTCAAGATATTTGTAAAACATAAGTATTCCACCAAAGTTTTAGTTTGGCTAGATCTGTGTTACAGCACATTAACCCACTGCTTACTGAGGTGCTGGCTAAATCTGTTACTCCACTTCCAATTCAGCTTCATAAAAGCAAACACACCTGAGAAGGCAGCAGGCTCTGCAACTCTTGTGGGAGGACCACATGGAGTTCTTGCCCCCCTGCCTAACTCTGCTAACCCAGAGTTGGCAACTGCACTCATCTGAAGAGAGGACCAGATGATTCAGGATACACCTCTCACTTTTGGTCACTCTTTCAAATAAACAAAACTTCTGTTAGTAGTAATAGAGGAATTACCAATTCCTCTAGGTCACAGTTAACTGGATATTTTCTACATAAATTTTTCTATACAGACAGATATAAAACCCTAAAACTTGGGGCCTAGCGTGATAGCATAGCGGCTAAAGTTCTTGCCTTGAACGTGCCAGTGTCCCATATGGGTGCTGGTTCTAATCCTGAAAGCTCCACCTCCCATCCAGCTCCCTGCTTGTAGCCTGGGAAAGCAGTGGATGACAGCCCACAGCCTTGGGACCCTGCACCCGTGTCGGAGACCCAGAAGAAGCTCCTGGTTCCTGGCTCTGGACTGGCTGAGCTCCAGCCGTTGCGGTTGCTTGGGGAGTGAATCATCGGACCAAAGATCTTCCTCTCTGTATGTCTGCCTTTCCAATAAAAGTAAATAAATCTTAAAACAAAAAAAATCTTAAAACTTACCTGTCCAAAGTACTTCAATTCCTGGTAGAAGTTTTTCTCCCACAGTCCTTAAGTAAGGAGACTGAGATACATTTGGGTAACAGAAAGTGCCACAATATTCTGCATGTAGAGGAAAAAAACAATCAGAAGTAAAATGCCCATGAGTTTTTGAATGGCAGGGAGGGCCAATAAATGGTATCTAAGACATTTTAATCCAAATGATAAAAGGCCTACACATCACATCTAAAAGGAAATAAATTCAAATGGCAAGTTAATTTAAAAGTCAATACACAAAATCTAGCATTCTTATTCTAACAGCACATATCAATGCTTGTGATGCCCTGTTCACACGTCTGAACTGTTCCTACTTCTCAATTACAGCCAGAGGTCAGACAGTGAAGAAACAGCATTATACTAATAATACAAGATTATGCCAATGGCTATCAAACTACAACTTATAGCATGATTCAGAGTGAATTAATTTCCAGTAGGGTCTTATTAGACACTGTATTCACACAATATCAAGATCAATAAAATAAAGTTCATAGCTAATTCAGACATACATTATGTCTAAAACATTTATCAAAACATGCTTATCTCTTCCTGAACAAGAAATATCATGTAAGTTAAATCCTAAACCATGACATAAGCAGGCTAACTAAATCACTTTAATGGAAGGAGTTGGAGAAGATAATAATTAAAGGGGAAAAATTATTATTTCTAGGCTGACTTTGTAGATAAGTGTCCAGATACAAGTGGGAGCTTTGAAAAGAAAAAAAAAAGGACAGAGACACATATGCAGAACGAGGGAACAAGTAGAAAGAACAAGAACTAGGGAGGGGACAGAGCTGGCAGGGGAATAAGGGAGGGTTCCTTTGCTGGACAGCTACTTCCACAGGAGAGCGTGGGCTGGGATAGGGGCAGACCAGACTAGGCAGGGCTACCACACTTGTGTGCCTCATGTGGCCTGGATCAGGGAAAAGCCGGGCTGAGCTGATTATTCCTACTGGTGCAAACTAAATTAGAGTGGGTGAGGGTTGTTCGGGCTTAGCCACAGCATCAGCTGGAATCTGGGAGTGGGAGAGGCCTGGGAGGGAAATAGTGGGCTCATCCCTCTTGGGGTACCACTTCCACAGGACGACATAAAACTAAGACAGTGGCTGGGGTGGAATGGGGTGTGGGACAGACTGGATTACTGCTACACATACTGGCAATCCAGGGTAGGGGGCAGGCCTGGTGGGGGTTATTGCGGGTCGCTCCAACTAGGCTGCAGCTCCTACTGGTTTATGTGAGGGTCAAGTAAGTGCTGGGCAGAACCAGGCTGGACTGCAACACCCATTGGTTCCGGTGGAAGTCGGGAGTGAAAACAGAACCAACCCAGCAATTACAACCACCAGCTGATCAGGGCGATGGACTGTGCCGGGCCTTGTACTTGTTAGCACATACAAAAAATTTCTTTGGAGATCTTCCTAATCTAAATGCTGGACTCAGAACCCTAACCAAGAAAAGAGAGAAGACAGAACGGGTCAACCAACCATCTCAGCTATGATGGACTATGTCAATCAGTGGATTTTTCAAAGACCTCATAGTGCTTGGAGTGGCAAGATTGGCAGCGATTCATAACTGTGGCAATATCAAAACCACTTGAGCAAGAACCTCAGAGCATGCCCTATATCCGGGACCTGGGGAGGGTGGGAAATTGGGTGGGCCTCCTCCCTTAATACCCCCTTTAAACATGAAGGAAACAATGTGGAAAAAATACTAGTCTTACCCACTTTCCTGTAGCCCTTGAACCCTTTTACCCTAATTAACTATGTAAAGATTGTCAAAGTAAAAAAATTAAAAAAAAAAAAAAAGAACAAGAACTAAGTAAAAAGCAGAGTGAATTTTTTTTGTTTTCACTGATAATAATTTCCATTATTGGCACTATAATATTTATGTATTTCTAGTACTAAAAGAAATAAATTCTTTACCTAATTGTCATGAACTGGCTTCTAAAAATTCTCCAACTTAGCAATATCAGAAACATTTCCTAACGAAGACCCTTCTATGTACCAAAGGGGGGAAACAACAGGGCTCTGGAGGCTGGAGCTAAGGAACCAGTTAACCTAGAATTATTACATACAATACCTGTGGGGCAGAAGAGGAAAGTTTCTGGCTCTCCTAGGTACTGATAAATTTCATTTGTGATGGAGATCTGAGCATGAGCGAAAGAACTGAACACCTCCTTGTCTGCTGCACACATATTATGGTCAATATCATCAAAAAGCAGGGCAAATGACCTGCACCCAAACTGAGAAACCTAACAAAAGAAAAAATGACATTTATTAGCTTACCTTAGAAGAAAAAAATTAAAAATAACCCAATATTACTTACTTAATGTCAACCATTTTCCTCACAATGTCAGAGACTAAGCTATTATTTTATATTTGAATGGAAGAAACTGTGCCCCTTCTAACTTCCTGGCTGCTAACTGGAGAAGATCCAATCACAATCAGAAAAACATAGAAATATGAATAATAATTATACTCAAAGACATGAAAAAACATTTGTTCTAGCTCCAAAACACTGACTAGTATCTTCGAAAATCAATATAAATAGTAGTAACTAAGAAAGAGCACAATACTAAAATGTATCAAAGAAATTGTCCCTTAAAATATAATTCGTGAGTATTAAAACTATCTCAATTTTGTTACTAGTCTTTATATGCCACAATACACATTTCTACTTAGGGCCCACCATGGTAGCCTAGTGGCTAAAGTTCTCACTTTGCATGTGCTGGGATGCCATAGGGGCCCGCTTCTCATCCAGCTCCCTGCTGGCGGCCTGGGAAAGCAGTCAAGGACAGCCTAAAACCTTGGGACCCTGCAACCAAACCAGAGACCTGGAAGAAGCTACTGGCTCCTGGTTTTGGATAGGCTCAGTTCTGACCACTGCGGCCACTTGGGAAGTAAATCAATGGATGCATGTGGCCACATAAACTCTACATGACTGTAACAGCCAGAGCTGAACTGATCCAAAGCCAGGAGCCAGAAACCTCTTCCAGGTCCTCCAAGACTTTGGGCCGTCCTTAACTGCTTTCCCTGGCCACACCAGGAAGCTGCAAGGGAGGTGGAGATACAAACCAATATCCGTATTGGATCTCAGCACATGCAAGGAAAAGTACTTCAGCTACTATTACAGCACCAGACACTTTCAAGTTAAAAAAAAAAAAAAAGTAGAATAAAGGTAGTGTCTTATCTCAGAACACTGGATTCCTGATTCTGACCCTATGGTAGAATTGAAATCTCTGAAAATAGAGCCTCATATTCAGCACTTAAGCATCACTTCTAAGAATTCTTCGAAGGCAGCTTTTATGAAAAATAAAGTTTAAAAAGCCCTATCCTTGTGGTAAAGTTCCTACCTTACTTCTGACATCCTCTACCAAAAGCACTCAAAAAAATTCCCACAGAAACACTATAAATCAATTTCCTTTAACATCAAAAAAGCAACTCAGGAAGACCTATTTCCAAATACAGCTGTGAGAAAAAAAATCATTTAAAAGGAGCTACCTGGTCCAGTTTGCGCTTTAGTGTAGAGACTTCTTTGGGGTTGGAAAAGGTGATGTCTAATCCAGGTGAGATAGCGTAGATGAACTCGATCTCATATTCCCGGGCAGCAGAGATGAGAGTCATAAGTTGCTCTAAAGTACAAAGTCCATAGTTTTAGAAAGTAGCAAAAAACTAATACTTACTTTTCAACTGAAGAGATCATTTATTCCAATTTACAAGAAAGGAAAAGTATTTCGCCTCACATGTGCCAGGATCCCACATGGGTGCCAGTCCCGATTGCTCCACTTCCCATCCAGCTCCCTGCCTGTGGTCTGGGAAAACACCAGAGGGCAGCCCAAGCCTTGGGACCCTGTATCCACATGCAGACCCACAGGAGGACTCCTGGATCCTGTTTTCAGATCCACTCTGCTCTGGTCACTGTGGCCACTTGGGATCCTGCACCCATGTGGGAAACCTAGAAGAAGCTCCCGACTCCTAGCTTCAGATTGGCTCAGCTCCAGCCATTGCAACCATCTGAGAAGTCAACTAATTGGTAGATGAAAGATGTTTTTCTTTCCTTCTCTCCAAATCTGTCTTTCCAATAAAAATAAATCAATATTAAAAAAGAAAAGTTTATGTTTTTTCTAATGTGTAAGTCCATTAAGAATTTATTATCTCTAAATAATAAGTTACACTTAAAGTCTTCCTCAAACATTCTAAGAAGGTGGAGAATTTCTCTGCACTCCTGACCTTTAGTGGAACAAGAGGAATATTATACAAATTTTTTCAGTTCTTAGAGGCAGTTCCGCTGGGGGTTCCACCTTCTGCAGGTGGAATCCAAGAACAACCCTGACACCTTCTTAAAAGGAAGTTGTGTGTACAGAGCAGAGGGGATCTCAGAGTGGAAGAGGAGGATAAGAGGAGGTCTGTATCCTAGCCCCTGAGACTTCTGGAGGCCTCCCAAGTGCTTTCCACACAGAAGCAATGGATACTTCATCGAGGATTGTCAGTATGGACACGGGGAACCGTATCCCGACTGCCTAGGAGACCACAGGGAATATGAACGCCCTCGGAGGCCAGGGTCAGTCATTTCCTATTGGATTTTCCACTCGGGATGGCAGCATCCCAAAACCCTCTCAAAAGGTCTGGTGACATTGGAACTACAGCCAGGAGGCCCACGTGGCACTCAGAGATAAAAGGATTGTAAATTTCTTTCCGGACTCTGAAAAGGAGCTTTCTCTGGTCCTTATCTAGTTCCAGCCTTGGCTCCCAGCTCTCTTACACCAACTATCATGGCTGCTTGTGACCCCAAAATTAGCTCAGATAGAGACTAATAAAGGTTAGCTAGTAGATAATCACTCAGCTTGTACCTTACTGATCAGGCTTCCCATTATGCTTTTCAGATAGAGACACTGATATATAAAGTCTGGAACAGCCAGGGAAAAGGCCAACTAGCCTATAATCGCTCAACCTGTACTTACTAGTCAGGCTATCTATTTGCTTCTCCTGGACTTTACTAGGTAGGATGTAGAGTTAAATTATTCCTCACTCACTGGGTTGTTGGGGATTTCCTTGCTCACCTGCCTAAAACTTATCTATTCTTCAATTGTTAAAATGCAAAGTTCTGTAAAACCATGCAAAATCACTATATACTGCAAAGTTCAAATTGTGGCTTAAGATTCTCCTCCCAAAAAACATTTATCAATTTATGACTGTTAATGCTAAACAAAATGTAACTACATAGAAACTTTGATATTAAGTTTATACTCAGCTGTTACATATATGATGGATGTTGATCCTTTCACTGTTCCTGTGAAAACTCAGAAACATGTTAGATTGAGAGAAAAAAAAAAGGTTTACAGTAGCCAGTTGTGTATATACTAAAATTGAGATGTCAAGGAAGTAGTTACAGGATGTGGTTAAGAACTTGTATTTTCTAACATAGTGATCACTCAATACCATGTGAATTAACTTCATGATATTGTTAATTTCGATGTTTCTTCCTGTTGTTGAAGTTGTGTAGTGACATCTCATTGGAGGAGATGATATTCTGCCAGCTCTGCTTTCAGACCAAGGATGGTCTCCCACTGAAACTGTTGAATTTATCTGGACAGTAAGAAGCTGGACTCTCCGCATGGTCCATGCCCGCAATAAAGGAACCATGACTAGTTATGAACTGTACTACTGTAACAATTTGGAGGAATGCAATATGGGGGAAGGTTTTGGGAGGGGGCTGGGGGAATGCCAGAGCCTATGAAACTGCGTCATAAAATTATATATTAATTAATTAATTTTAGAAACAGTCTCGGGGCCCGGAACGACAGATTAGCAGCTAATGTCCTTAAACATGCCAGGATCCCATATGGGCACCGGATCTAACCCCACTAGCCCTGCTTCCCATCCAGCTCCCTGCTTGTGGCCTGGGAAAGCAGTTAAGGATGGCCCAAAGCCTTGGGATCATGGGAGACATGGAAGAAGCTCTGGGATCCCGGCTTTGGATTGGCTCAGCCCCTGCCATTGCGGTCACTTGGGGAGCGAATCTTTGGATGGAAAATCTTCCTCTGTCTCTCCTCTCTGTATATCTGACTAGGCAATAAAAAATAAAGAGATAAAGAAAGGAAAGACACGAGCCCAGTACATGTCCCAGATGCTTTACTTTCCATCCAGCTCCCTGCTTGTGTCCTGGGAAAGTAGTTGAGGATGGCTCAAAGCATGGGATCCTGCACTCACATTGGACTGGGAAGAAGCTCCAAGCTTCTGGCTCCTGATCAGCTTAGTTCCAGCCATTGTGGCCACTTGGGGAGTGAACCGGTAGATGGAAGATCTTTCTCCCTGTATCTCCTCTCTGCATATCTGCCTTTCAGCAGATGGAAGATCTTTCTCCTTTTCTCTATAAATCTGAATTTCCAATGAAAATAAGTAAATCTTTTTAAAATAGTAATTTTCCTAAATACATTAAACACTACTTACTACTACTGCATCCATGTAACTATTATCTCCCACTGGCATCTCAATAATCACTTGACTTCACTGATTATTGACACATTGCATTCATTACGAGCACAGGAAAACAATTATAAATGCACATAGAAAAGTAATCAATACTGGGAGATGGAAAAGGCCTGAGTTTTAATGCTTCTTCCTGATTCCACAAACTTGCTGCCTCAGCTGGGCTCTGTAACCCATCTTTCTAGTTACAGGTGTATACTACTTAAGGAGAAAAAAAAAGGCTTCCTCATCCATTTACCTCCTAAAAGAGAAGCAAGCACCATCTCTCTAACTGCCACTAAAGTGTTTATCAGGCACTAACTTCCCAAGCAATTGTGAACCTAACTCTACCTAAGAATACACACAGCAACAATACTCTGCTATGGTTATCCGCTTCACTAGATCAGACTGAGGTCTTTTGTCTTAGACAGTATCAGTAACAGTGCTCATAGCCAAGTGGCAAGAGAGCCTGAGATGAAAGGAAAAACCATTCAGAATGATCTTGCCTTTAAGATGCTGATATTTTGTCCTTCATAAACTCCTTATATTTACTTTGAGTCTCTTAAATAAATCTGCAATCATAGCAAATGTTTCACTCCCCATGCCACAGATCTAGCCGAGTTTTATACCTCTTTCTTCGGTGGCCCACTTGACTAGACAACTGGCGAAAACCCCATGTATGACCATGGAGACTTAGATGGCACACCCCCAAGAAACATTTGTGGCCATGACCTTGTTAGCACTGCTCTTTCAACTACACTGACTTATACAACCGAAACAGCTACCTGACAAAAAAGAAAACACCTGCAAAGCAAAAATAAAATGCTTACTATAATTCTTGTACAACTACACGTAAAATATATCAGTCTTTTTCAGATATTATGAAATTTATAGATTAAAAGAAAAAGATTACCAGCTTCTTCTACTGAATACATTTCTCGCCAAAACATTCTATGTTTGTAGTCATCCTTTGGGGCATATAAGTAGGTATTTAATTCCCATTTCTGCAGCCTTAAAGGAAAAGAAAATCACATATAAACAGGCAACATTTATAGCGTGTCAATTTTCCCCTCTTCTGAAGCACCTCCACTTCAGTTACGAAAAGCTTAGTACAGCACCTTTTGACCTTTTTGTAATCAGACATATGAAACAATTAATTAAATATTGAGGACAGCACTATGGTTAGTGGGTAAAACTGCTGCCTGTAGCAGCAACATTTATCTAACGGCCAGTCCTGTCTGTCCCACTTTCAATCCAGCACCCTGCTGATGTGCCCATGAGGGCAGCAGAGAACGGAGAACAGCACTCATGTCAGCTCAGGAAGAGAGCTGGCCCAACTGCAGTCTGTGTAGTCCTATTTAGGGAGTGAACAAACAAATTTCTCTGTAACTCTGCCTTCCAGCAAATGCGGAAATCTTTAGAAAGTCCTCTGCTTCAAATAATAAAAATTTACCTTCTGAAGAGTTCTTTCCTCTGTTCCATAACCCAAGGTCTTCCATAAAATCCTAGATTCAAAGAAGAAATGAAATTATTTAAGCTTAAAGTATGTATTAAAGGGTTTTTTTTAAACAAAAGCAGATTACAAGATATAATTCAAGCACATTAAAGAAAGTATGAGATCAAAGTGTGAAGGACTCATAGTAAAACATGATGGTTTCTTTTCTTTTTTTTTTTTTTAAAGATTTATTTATTTATTTATTGGAAAGTCAGATATATAGAGAGGAGGAGAGACAGAGAGGAAAATCCTTCCTTCTGATGACTCACTCCCCAAGTGACCACAAGGGCCAGTGCTGAGCCGATCCAGAGCCAGGAACCAGGAACTTCTTCCAGGTCTCCCACAAGGTGCAGAGTCCCAACGCCTTGGGCCGCCCTCTGCTGCTTTCCCAGGCTACAAGCATGGAGCTGGATGGGAAGTGGAGCTGCCAGGATTTGAACCAGCAGCGATATGGGATCCTGGCACGTTCAAGGCGTGGACTTTAGCCACTAGGCCTTTTAATTCTGCCTTAAAATAACCTTCTCTACAAATCTGCCTTTCCAATAAAAATAAATATTTTTAAGTGTGGGGGGGGACTAGTGAGATGGCTCAACTTTGCCAAGTAATTATTGGCATGCAATATGGGTGCCAATTTGCATCCTAGCTCTGTCTGTCCTCTCTGACTTCAATAAAAATAAATAAATCTTAAAAAAAAGTGGGGGGAGGCAGAGTAGTAGTCTAGTGGCTACTACTCCTACCTGTGCCAGGGTCCCACATGGGCGCTGATTCGTGTCCCAGCTGTTCCACTCCCCATCCTGTGATTTGGGAAGTTAGTTGAGGATACCCCCAAAGCCTTGGGACCCTAGGAGACCCCAGAAAAGCTTCTGGCTTCAGATGGGCTCAGCTCTGGTCAATGAGGCAACTAGGGGAGTAAACCAGCAGATAGAAGCTCTTTCTCTGTTTCTCCAAGTATCTGCCTTTCAATAAAAATAAACGATTCTTGGGCCCGGCACTGTAGCTCTGGCCGATGGGGCCGCTTACTAAGTGAATAGGTGGACTGAAGAGCTTCCCCTGTGTATATGACTTTCAAATAAAAATTTAAAAATAGGGCCCACTCAGCATGCTGGCCTAGGGGCTAAAGTCTTCACTTTGTACGCACCAGTATCCCATATGGGCGTCAGTTCTAATCCTGGCAGCCCTGCTTCTCACCCAGCTCCCTGCTTGTAGCCTGGGAAAGCAGTTGAGGACAGCCCAAAGCCTTAGGACCTTGCACCCATGTAGTAGACCTGGAAGAAGTTCCTGGTTCGTGGCTTCGGATTGGCTCAGTTCCTGCTGGTGTGGCTACTTTGGCAGTGAATCATCGGATGGAAAATCTTCCTCTGTCTCTCCTCCTCTCTCTATATCTGACTTTCCAATAAATAAATAAATCTTTTTTAAAAAAAGATTGGATTGTGTGATACAGTATTGGAGTATTCCACAGTTGTTTTCAAGTGATGGCTTAGGAATAACAACTGATTATGCGAGGATGTTTGATCTTAAGAATCAGTGGAACCCACTGTCTCTAAAGACCTGAGTACATTTGCTTGAAATTCCTAACCAGATTCTGGGAGGTGCTGTGACAAATGAAGATTAACAGTAAGGGCCCGGCGCGGTGGCGCAAGTGGTTAAGTCCTCGCCTTGCACGCCCGGGATCCCATATGGGCGCCGGTTCTAATCCCTGCAGCCCCGCTTCCCTTCCAGCTCCCTGCCTGTGGCCTGGGAAAGCAGTTGAGGACGGCCCAAAGCTTTGGGACCCTGCACCCGCGTGGGAGACCCGGAAGAGGCTCCTGGCTTCGGATCGGCATAGTATCGGCCCGTTGCGGCTCACTTGGGGAGTGAATCATCGGATGGAAGATCTTCCTCTCTGTCTCTCCTCTCTGTATATCCGCCTTTCCAATAAAAAATAATAAAAATAAATCTTTAAAAAAAAAAAAACAGTAAGAAATAAGAATTGAAGAAAACCATGAATGAAGCATCAAAAGTCTGAAGATGGAAGTAAATGAAGAGAATGTACACTGGAAGGAATTGCAATATGGGGAACTTGTTCAATAAAAATTCATTAGCTTTAAATAATCTTATTACAAAGCATAAAAAATAAACTTTACACTGGCTTGCAGGAAATAACAACAACAAAAGGCTGAAACTCTAGTCTCAGTGCCAGTGGTAGCAAATGTTTTAATTCCAGAGCAAGGCTGGAACACATGAGAATCTGAGGCTGAGATGCCCCAGCGCATCCACTGCAGGAAACAAACTTGCAGACTCGGGACCTAATGGTATTTAGAGCTCTTTGGCGTGCTAATCACAGCTGCACCATAAACATCACCACTTGTCAACTGTTCTTTTCCACCTGTCACTCTAGCCATAAGGAAGAGAGAAGGCATATTTTCAGGGATAGCATGATAGTAGTTAATAAAAATTTTATATCAAAATACTTATGCTCCTCTCAGAAATATTTCCTAAATAAGCACTACAGAAGTTATGCACAGGGCCCGGCGCGGTGGCGCAAGTGGTTAAAGGTCCTCGCCTTACACGCCCGGGATCCCATATGGGCGCCAGTTCTAATCCCGGCAGCCCCGCTTCCCTTCCAGCTCCCTGCCTGTGGCCTGGGAAAGCAGTCGAGGACGGCCCAAAGCTTTGGGACCCTGCACCCGCGTGGGAGACCCGGAAGAGGCTCCTGGCTTCGGATCGGCATAGTATCGGCCCGTTGCGCTCACTTGGGGAGTGAATCATCGGACGGAAGATCTTCCTCTCTGTCTCTCCTCTCTGTATATCTGCCTTTCCAATGAAAAAATAATAAAAATAAATCTTTAAAAAAAAAAAGAAGTTATGCACATAAATTTTATTGTATCATGTATAAAAATTGTAACACTTATTTTTTTTTACTGTTAACACTTTCAATACTGCCAATTCAATGTGACACTCTTACTGGTGACTTCAAAACAGTTAAAAATTTTTTTAAAGATATATTTTATGGGCCAGGGGCTTAAGTCCTCGCCTAGAAACCGCTCGCCAACTGCCAGAATCTCATATTGTGCCAGCTCTAGTCCGGCAGCTCGGCTTTCTGGGAAAGCAGTGGAGGACTGCCCAAAGCCTTGGGACCCTGTACTCACATGGGAAACCTGGAGGAAGGATCCTGACTCCTGGTTTAAAGCACAACATCAATCCCTAATGTATGCTTAATTAGATAAAGCTTACAGACCTTTAATTTAGCATGTAGTATTATCATTTTTCTCTTAAATAAGCATTAAGCAATCTTTTAGAATCGTACCAATATAAAAAGAGAAAACTTTCCAAGTGTCTGGCTCCATTTAAGTGCCTTCAGAGCCCCTGACTGCTCCTTGGGTGGTTGTGGTTGACCAGCAGGGTAAGGAAGAAGTAGTGATGCTAATGCAAGAGTTAAAACAAAGGGCTGGCAGGGAAAGAGGATGAGGAGAAGGCCTGGCAGCAACTTCAGTATTTCCTGTCCTCTTTCACATTAGGAATGGTGCCAACAGGAAGCACTGTAACATCCCTACCCTCCAGGAAAACACCTCGGTTTTGGTTCAGTTACCAGGAACACTTACAAAGGAACAGAGATCTCAAACAGAAGAACAACTCGGTTCTTCAACACAGTTAACAGTCCTCTTTTATTAATTTCAGAACACAATAAATGAACCACCATGAATCATCTCCTGAGAACCTAAGAGACCACAAATTTCTTTAGACTCACTCCAGGGTGTAGCTTTGATGTGCCTGTAACAACATTCCTTCCTCTTCCCCACTTTCTACGTGTTAGTACCAAGGACCTAGCAATTAGCCACTAATCCAGGATCCCATTACGATCCGCAGTGGTGTCCTGGGAGAGCAAAGAAGGCCCAAGGCCTTGGGACCCTACACCCACGTGGGAGACCCGGAAAAAGCTCCCGACCCCTGGCTTCCCATCCTGCAGTTCTCTAGCTGTTCCAGTTACTTGCGGAGTGAATCATCGTATGGAAAATCTTCCTCTCTGTCTCCTCTTCTCTGTGTATCTCACTTCCAAATAAAAGTAAACTTAAAATCTTTAAAAAGAAAGTCTTGGTAACAAAATACATCGTTTTTCTAAAAATTTCCTGTATGACACCACAGACACCATGAAACTATAAACACTGATTCCAGCAAAACACAGCTTTCCATTGCTAAACTCATCTCTTCTCCCCAACTAATGAACTCTGCATAAAAAAAAAAAAAATCTGGCGACAATACTAGAAAAGCTATTGTTGTCTATCAAGAAAGCAACCCTCTGTTTTGTCTTCCATACAAACTTCTGCATTCCTATCCACGCCCTTACCTAACGTTAGAAATAAGCAACCAATGAAAAGACAACCTTGAGTAGAACAAAACATTCAAATACACAAGGCGGCTTCCGTGGAAAGCAGGGCACAATATCCGCCCATTGTTATTCACACGCTGTGGTTCAATTTCCGATAATTTCCCTCACTACTAAAAAAACAGTCCATCAGTTTAATCAAACGGGAGAAGGTTAGATAAGAGTGCTTACGTCATTCAATTCAAATTTCGCGTCCCAGACGCTTAGGATTCTTAAAGTCACAGCTTCATCCCTCGAGGGCAAATCCCCGTGACTAGGTAGGAGACCGGAGTCTCCAGGTGTGAATCCACCTTCTCAGAGCAGGGCTGCCCAGCCCCGATCCAAAACCAAACCCTCCACGGAGAGGAACCTCACACCAGCGGACGGTGCGCTCTTCCCTTCCCAAGCACACGCGCGTGTGCGTGCGAACACAACCACACCACCCGTTTTGTTTTTTTTTTTTTACACGAGCGCAAAAACAAAACAAAACAAAACCCTGTTGAATAAGATGCCAAGATACAAAGAGGTGCCACCCGGAGCTTAGCACCTCCCGGGGAAGTCGGCCTGGCTCCCAGCCCAAGGCGGGTGGAGTCGGGCTGGTGAGCAGCCAGAGGGAAATTCGACGCCGATTTAAGAAGGAGGTGGAGGAGGTGGGGGGAGAAACTCAACCCGCAGCGCCGGCTCCCCACGTTCCAACAGGCACCCAATTTCAGTCCTAAGGAACGCTCCAGCCTTTTGGAGGCCCCGGAAGCACCGCCAGCCGCCCACCTTCCCTCCCCAGGAGTTAAGGGGTGAGGGGCAGAGCGGGGCGGGGCGCTCACCTTCCACCACGCCACACAGGAACCTCCGAGCCCCTGCAGCCGCCCCGGCCCCGGCCGCTGCCCCGGCCCCGGCTGGGCTGTCTTCTCCAGGGGCTGGAGCTGCCGGCGGCTCCAGCGACGTCCCTGCGGAGGCGGCAGGGTTAGAGCTGAGCTCGCTCTCCCGCTCTTCCAGCGTCGCCTGGCTGTCCTTTTGCACCATCCTCCTGCCCCCGGCCGCCGCCACCTCGGCGGGTCCTCTCGGGCCTCCGTCGGTTGGGCTGCAGGCCCGCAGCCCCGCCAAGGGCCCCTCGGCGCCGAGCGCGCGCCCCCGCCGCGCTTCCCCTCCCCCTCGCTCCGCAGGGGCCCGAGTGCCCGGATGAGAAGGGCGGCGGCACCAGCGCGAGCCCTTTGTCAGCCGAAGCCTCCGCCTAAGCAAGGGAGCCGGAAGCCTCGGCACACAGCGAAGCGGCAAGCTCTCGTTCCCTGGAAGGAAAAAACCAAGGCTCGTCTTGGTCCTCCGTTAGCCCCCGGTGTGCCCTCCCGACAGTCTCAACCCTTCCACTGTTTGCTCTCGCGGCCCCGGCGGCTCCTCTGCTGCCTCTACCGCCCGCTTCCTGTTTATCCGCACTGCGCCTGCGCTACAGACCGGCTCAGACCGGTCCTCTCAACCCTGCTCCCCCGCCTCTTTTGAGGCCAACCCATTAAGCCGCTTTTGTAGGGGGAATATAAGATAGAGACACGACAAACGCACGAGAAAAGGCAGGCAGTGGAGTATACCACTTGTGCTTGCCACCCTTCACAATTAGCCAGGCACCTTGGAACAGACCATTATTCCACCCGAAGAAGGGGAGTATGGGAGGAGGCTGTGGCCCGTAGGGGCAATTGGGAGAGAGGGGGTGTAAGTGGAAAAAAAAAAAAAGAGGTGTTTACTCCTCAATGCGCAGGCGCGGAAAAGAAGTCTTTGGTTCTTAAAGAGGAAGAAGCTGACCTAGTTTCAGCGCAGTTTCTTGTCTTTACATCTCCCTGGCCTGGGCTCGGTTCTTTGAAGGCACCATTCCAAAGAGCTCAGCTCACCCCTCTGCCTTGAGTCATTTTCTCTTACCCACCCCTCCCTACCCTAGCCCTGGTGCTAATCCCTCTTTAAAATTCAATCCTCTGCTTATTTCTTAACTCCGCCAACCCTGATTGGGCTCGGGGCCTCTGTGAGCTCACAGTGCTTTGCACGAGGCGTGGCCCGGTGCTGGGGCCCCCAGGGGAGATGGTGACTAGCTCCTCTGAGCCCAGGTAGTGGCTGCGGCTTCTCTTTTCAGCTGGATCGCCGGTCTTGGTGAGACAGAGGGCAGGGGAGCGGAAAGGGGCAAAAGGCAGGTTTGCAAGTAAAATGGACGAAGTCTGAAGGGCCACAAGATTCATGGATTGAGCTTCAGCGTGAGTCACATGACCTGGGGACACTTCCCAGTTCTACGAGGGCTTGGTGTATGTTCCCACAGCTCCGTGTTATAATACATTTCACACTAAGTTCAGTAACATCTTTATTATTTCACGTTTTGAGAGACAGAGACGATAAATCTTCCACCTCTTGACTCCCTCCGCATATGTCTGCAGCAGCCAGTGTGAGGCAGGAGCTGACAAACGGGTCTGGACAGGTCTCAGTTTGTGATTAATGGCCTGGGCGTCTCCCTCTAGTTTGGATTATAGAGGCTCTATATGTCAATTTGGGGGGTGACTCCTCTCCTGGAAGCCCCACTTGTGGCTCAGACCACTGTCTCTCCTTTTGTTGCTGTTTTTTAGTGGAACATTTCACAAATGAGTCACCCTTGTGCAGGAGCCGTTAATCTTTTCTAGAACATTCCAATTTTTGTATCATGTGCTGCCTAAACAAGAACAGAGGAAACACCTTGTTAAGGGACCTCCTGCAATGACGGTCGAGGGCTTTACACAGCTTCCCTGGATATTTGGTTCTGTGGGAGTTACGAGCTATCCTTAGTTCTAGGACATTTTTCTGCGTCACATCTTACACTGCCTCCAAATGGGCAGTCACACACTGTCCCTGTTCAGATCTTGGCTTCTCAAACTTGAAGAGTAGTTCCAGCCACACAGCTGTTACACATTTTCTCCTCACACCACCCCCCACCTGTAGCTACAGTAGCAATCAGGGCTAAATAGGCTCAAGACAATGTTTATGGAGCTCTTACCTCAGAATTTAGATTCCAGTTGGAAAAAACAAATCACTGGAACTGATACAGAAGGCACTGTCAGTAGCCATGGCTTAACGCACTGTGCCACAACTCCAACACCTAAACATTAGTACCATGCCCAGTGTTCCAAGTCCTCATGAAGGTGTCAGATGGCGGTGTTGGAGCTCAGAGGAGAGTTCTTGGAGGTGTAAACATTGGAATCTCTCCATACAGATGGATTTTATAACTTAAAAAATAATTTTTTTAGAAAGCAAAGTGAGGGAGAGACCTTCCATTTGCTTGTTCACTCCCCAATGGACACAGCGGCTGGGACAGGGGTTGGGCCAGGCTGAAGCTAGGACTCCCCTATGGGTCATCTTCTGCTACTTTCCCAGGCGAATTAGTGTCAGCTGGATCAGAAGTAAAGCAACCAGGCCTCACATCAGTGCATAGATGGAATGTGACATTGCAGTGACAGCCTTACAGTGCCACAAAGGTGGTGCCCACAAATGGTGTTTAAACCATGGAGTTAGGGGTGATTTGGAGAAACAGCTCAGATCTGAACCGAAGAAAGCAACATATAGCATAAGAACAAATCTGCAAAGAAAGGCTGGGGAGACATGACCAGCAAGGTTGGAGCAGGCGCTAGCAAAAGGCAAGAGAAGAGTGTTCTGAGAAGGATCTGCTTTCATCATTCTGAATTTGCCCAACGGCCAAGACAAAATGATGTGGATGCCAACCTGCCAGCTTTTTCTGGCTCCCATCTGGGCATTTCTCACCTCACTAGCAAGTCTCAACTTCAAACCTTAACCTCCCCTAAACTCAGATCTGTCCTAAAAATGGACATTGCTAGGGCGGGTGTTTGGTGCGGTGGCATCCACATCCAATAATGCCACTCCTAAATTCAGCCTCCTGGTCCCTGCCACTCACATGAGATAGCCAGATATGCTGCCTGGTTTCTAAGTCCCAGCTGGCTTCAGCTTGGCCCAGCCCCAGCTGTTAGGGGAGCTTTCAGAATAAACTAACAGGTAAAAGTGCTCTCTCCTGCTCACTCTTTCTTTCAAATAAAAGAAAAATTTAAAAATGGAGACTGTCGGGGCCCAGTGCTATGGCCTAGCAGCTAAAGTCCTTGCCTTGAACACCACGCCAGGATCCCATATGGGCACAGGTTCTAATCCCAGCAGCTCCACTTCCCATCCAGCTCCCTGCTTATGACTTGGGAAAGCAGTTGAGGATGGTAGAAAGCCTTGGGACCCTGTACCTAGACGGATGGCCCAAAGGAGGTTCCTGGCTTCAGATCAGCTCAGTTCTGGCTGATGGGACCACTTGAGGAGTAAATCAGTGGATGGAAGTTCTTTCTCTCTGTGTCTCCTTCTCTCTGTAAATCTGCCTTTCCAATAAAAATAAATAAATCTTTTTTTAAAAAAAAAGGAAGGCTGTGAGGCACAGTACATGGTGTTTTGTTTCGTTTGTTGTTCAAGATTTATCCATTTCTTTATTGGAACAGCAGATCTACAGAAAAGGCAGACAAAAAAATCTTCTGGACTCAGTGCAATAGCCTAGTGGCTAAAGTCCTCGCCTTAAACTTGCTGGGATCCCACATGGGCACCGGTTCTAATCCTGGAAGCCCCACTTCACATCCAGCTCCCTGCTTGTGGCCTGGGAAAGCAGTTGAGGACGGCCCAACGCCTTGGGACTCTGCACCCACATGGGATACCCTGAAGAAGCTTTTGGCTCCTGGCTTCGGATTGGCTCAGTTCCAGCTGTTGTGGCCTCGTGGGGAGTGAACCATCGGATGGAAGATCTTTCTCTCTGTCTCTCCTCCTCTCTGTATATCTGACTTTGCAATAAAAATAAATAAATCTTAAAAAAAATCTTTTGTCTACTAGTTCACTCCCAAAATGGACAGAAAGTGGAACAGCTGGGACAGGACGCATCACCCATATGAGATCCCGGCATGTGCAAAGTGATGATTTAACTACTGTGTTGCCATGCCAGGCCTATTTTCTTCACTATAAAATAATCCAAGAGTTTAACTTGTCCATTGTTATGCGTGGTTGACACTGCCTGGTTTTAAATGCCCATGTTCCATATCAGAATGACCTAACTACCCTGATCCCTGATCCAGCTTGAGTGGGAGCTACTTACTTGGGGGACCCAGATAAGATTCCCTTCTATAAAGTGGGTCCACAGCATGAATCCAGGCTTTACTCCAATGATCCAAAGAAAACCAGGGCCCCCCGAACAAATGGTTCTGAGATGATCCAGAGAACACAGGTGACAAAACAATGTCTTCTAGAAGCGAGGTTTTGCTTCTTGGTCCCCCTAGCCCTCCCTTGACCTGGTCAATGTAACAGTGATGGTGATGTCACCATGTAAGAATGCCCCAAAGGGGCCCGGTGGAGTGGCCTAGCGGCTGAAGTCCTTGCCTTGAATGCGCTGGGATCCCATGTGGGCGCTGGTTCTGATCCCAGTAGCTCCACTTCCCATCCAGCTCCCAGCTTGTGGCCTGGGAAAACAGTCGAGGATGGCCCAATGCTTTGGGACCCTGCACCTGTGTGGGAGACCCAGAGGAAGTTCCTGGCTCCTGGCTTGGGATTGGGATAGCATTGGCCATTGTACTCACTTGGGGAGTGAATCATCAGATGGAAGATCTTCTTCTCTGTCTCTCCTCCTCTCTCTATATCTGACTTTCCAATAAATAAATAAATAAATGTTTTTTTTTAAAACAAAGAATGCCCCAAAGAAATAATGGGGGTGGGTTACCATCACTGACCCCTCTCTAGGAGCAGAACAAAGAGATGGGGACATGCAAGAAGTCTCTGTCAAGCTTGTGCTGTATGCCTCAGGATGACCTACCCAGGGTGCACTCCATCTCCATCCCCCTTGTCCCGCCCATCACTGCTGGATGGGGTACAGACACAAGAGCACATCTCTGCTAGGGCCATGAGGATCATTCACACAAAGCAATTTTTTGTTAAAAATTAAAGGGGATCTCCTCTTCCCTACCCCTACATCCTTGCTTTCCGCCACCCCACCCCCCACTGCTGCCATAAAAAGAATTCTTTCAGATTAAGTTAAATCTACAAAGCAGAAATTCTTGATTCAACTTGTAGGGATCTTGGCCAAGACACAGCTTGCTCAGCATGATTTTCAGGACACTGCTGGCCCATTCTTCCTCGTTGTGTCCTCTCAGGATTTGGGAGGTTCAGGAGGAGCCTGAGGCTAGGTGGGCTTCGCAGCATCCCAGACCCTGCATCTGGTTCTCCTGCCTAGGTATGGGCAGCCTGCAAGAAGGAGAGGTGTGTTTTGGGGCTTGTGTTGTAGGTGTGGGATGTGAGGGACAGAAGGACAGAGACAGCAACCTGTGCATAGCCATTGTGTTTTATTAGATCTGGTGCATTTCTGATTTTACAAAATATATAGAAGAGCCAAAAAATGCAAAGCAGCCAATTGATGTTCTGACAGGAAAAAGGGCCCCCTGGGGGAGTGCCTTGCGTCAGATTCTGGCTGACTGTTGGGAGCTGAATGGGACAAGCAGGTGTACTGAGGGGTAGCAGCATGGCAGGAGTGCTGACAACCAAGTGTCACCCAGGTCCCTTGGTCCCGCCTTTCAGGTGTGTCCTCTGGGTGGACTCACAGGGAACTGAGGAGGAACTGGGTGAAGGGGTGGGGCTGCGCCCAGGATCCTGGAAGATTCTAACTAATGTCCCCACACTGCATTCAGACGCAAAGCCTGCCTCCTTCTTCCCCAGTCATCTAAGGGGAGAGGGAAAGGACTTTGACTCAGGCAGTTCCCTGATTCACTCCACCCATCCAAAGCAAGAGGACGGGGCACGCGAGAACCTGGGCTTTCGCCACCAGGGCAGCTGATGAACAGGCAGGGTGGGCTGCAGATCCAGTAGGTGTCAGCAAGGACATCTCCCATGCTCCTTCTTTCCCCCCTGCCACCTCCACCACCCACACAGACAGGAAGGTAGGAGAAGACAGAATACCAGGGATGTGCCAGAGAGCTGGATCCCAGGCTCTCCTAGGAGACTAAGGAGAGAATGGAAAATTTCTGCAGTGTTTCCAAGAAGATAAAGTCTTCAAAAAGTGCAGAAATCCATATTCTGACGGCTGGGGATAGCAGACCTGTGGCACTCTGAGCTGCAGCTGGCCATGCAGGAGAGCTCACTATCTTCCCAGGTTTTTCTGGTTTCTCCTTTAGCCACTTCCTAGGACCTAACAGCTCAAGGCCCAGATTTCCCTCAGTCCTGTCTGTATTCTTCACACCATTCCTCAACTCCCCTAGGACACTCAGGCTAGTGCGAGAGCCAGCTAGGGGAGAACAGAAGATGCTCTCTGAGCAAAGAATTTCAGGGGAACCATTAATGGAGTTGAGGGGGGGAAAGCACCATAGCAGGAGACATTCTGGCTAGTGTCAGTTTCTAGTGAGGGTGGGAGGGGCACCCTAAGAGCTGGGTGTCAGGCAGGAGGGGGTGAAAGCCGTTTGGAGTTGGGAACACCCCCTAGAAGCCATCTGCCCACTGTGCAGCCCCCTCCACTCAGGGATCTGGACTAGTTGATCCTCAGGCTCTCGGCTGCCCACAGATCCCAAGGTAGGGCAGGCGAGGATGCGGCCAGAGCTGGGAAGAGAAGGGGCAGTCTGCCTAGACTAGGGCTGGAGGATGGTCCCCGGGCCAACCGAGGCTCTCTCCTGGGCAGCTAGATGACATTATCAAACAGCTGCATGGACCTCATGATGTTCTCATCCTGTGGTCACGGGGTAGGGGAGGCAGGGTGGAGAGAGAGAAAGGGAGAGAAAGAGCTTGTCAGAGCCAGGGAGACGGGGAGGCAGAGGTAGGGATAGAGGAGGCCCTCCAGGTGGTATGCCTCTCTCAGGTATGGAGGAACAGGCTTGGGGTGCTGAGGAGTGTGTGTGAGCAGTGCTCTGTCCAACGGATCTTCGTCCTGTGCCACTGAACCAGGCCCTGAGTCTAGACCAGGGAAACCAAGAGGGCGTAGGGCCTGTACCTTTTGACAAGACTCTATGAACTCTTCAATGGTCACCACTCCATCCTTGTTTCTGTCCATCTTCTGCACGAAGGGGGTCCAGCAAGGAGAACAAGAAGGGTGACAGGAGGGAAGCAGGCAGAGGGTGGGTCAGATCCCCTGTGGCTTCTAGGCCTCCCACCCTTCCCCACAGCCTGCCCAGGTCCCGGCACCTGGAAGAAGCTCTCCACATGCTCCCTTGGGGCCTCCTCGCGGAGCGCAGGGTACGTGTACTTGCCCATCATGTCGTAGATGGACTTCATGATGTCAAGCATTTCCTGTTGGGCCAAGAGAAAAGCGGATCCTCCTCAGAGGCTCTGGCCTGCAAGCCAAGAGGCCTGCAGCCCAGGACAGCTTCTGCCCTTCCTGGTGACACATCTGCAGTGTGCATTCCCTCCAATGGCCCCTGGGCCCCCCACCCCTGGCCCTGTGGGTGGCCCTGCACCTCCTTAGTGATACAGCCATCCTTGTTGAGGTCATACAGGTTGAAGGCCCAGTTCAGCCTGTCATCTACGCTGCCCCGGAGAATCACCGACAGACCAGCCACGAAGTCCTGAGAAGCAGGCAGAGGGAGAAAAGCTGGGTCTAGCGGAGCCCTTCACACAGCCTGAGCTCTCGGATGGGCCCAGAAGCCCCCACACCCCACTCACCTCAAAACTGACCGAGCCATCATGGTTGGTGTCAAAGGCATTGAAGAGGAAAGTGGCGTAGGTGCTGGAGTCTGCAGGGGCGGCAGGCAGTCAGTTGGCTGGGGGGCCTTCTGGCCTCTGCAGGGGCCCCCTTCCCCTCTCAGCTGCTGGCTTCCCTTACCTCCTTGGGGGAAGAACTGGGAGTAAATCTGCTTGAAGTTCTCCTCATTGACAATTCCGCTGGGACACTCCTGTGGGGTGGGGGACCAGTCTGAGGGCACAGGTAAACCTCCTGTTACCCTGTGCCCTTTCTCAGGGGAATTCTTCAGGAGGGTTCATGGGCTAGGAGGTAAGATCTCCCCAGAGCACACATAAAACACAAAGAACCCAGCCGCGGGCCTCCTCCCACCTGCCCACCATTGCAGTCACCGGCTGCGAGTCTCGATTAGGCCCCATTCCACTCTGTCCTGCCACGCTTCCGTTTCCACTTCCACTCACGTTCTTGAAGCCCCGGTACAGGACCTGCAGCTCCTTGCGTGTGAACTTGGTTTGCTCTTGCAGTTGCTCCAGACCCTCAGGCCGGTGACACACGGTGGACAGTTCAAACTCATCCTCCACGCTGTCTGCAGGGAGCAGTGTGGAGGGGGGAGGGGTGGACGGACAGCCGTGCCTCAGGCTCGGCCCCTGTGCCCTCCCCTTGCAAATTGCCTCCCTCCCTGTCTCATCTTTGATGTGCCAGAAACCAGCCTGCCAGCTCCCCAAACCCTGATCCGAGGACAAGGAGGCCAGGAGAGAAGTCGCTGGTCAGCTACAAGGGTCTGTCTAGCGCCAAGGCCATGCCTGGCACCGAGGACAGAGCTCCAGCCTTGCCCTGCCCGGCCCCGCCCACAGGCCCCGCCCACCGGCCCCGCCCGAGACATGCCCCGCCCAGCTCCAGCCAAGCCCCGCCCCAGGCAAGTGCCCCTCCCCCCGACCGTCCATCACCTGGGTCCAGCGGGCGGGGTCTGTGGGGGCGGAGGGAGGCTGGGGCGGCTAATGCTGAAGGGAGCGAACTGTCACCAAGAAAGCCGAGATCCGAGCACCGTAACACTCCCGCGCCCGCACACGCATACGAAACGGACACCACGCACTCCTGCTTGCGGGACTCATGCCCTCCCTTTTTCCGAAACGCCCGAGGAATCCCAACCAACAACTCGCCGGACTGCAGCTGAGAGCCCCCCGAACCCTGGCGCCTGCAGGAAGGCGGGCTCCGTCCTCTCCACCTGCATCCCGCTTGTCGGGGAGTGCGCCAGACAGCGCCAGGTCCGAGACAGACCCCAGGACGGAACAGAGTCGCAGACTGCCCCAGCCAATTCACGCACAGACCCTCACACTCGCCCACCGCGCTGGCTGGCGGCGCCCAAACATCCGGGCGGGTCCCGCTTGGTTGTACAGGCCGGGGACGCCCACAGGTTCGCCCTCAATGACCAGGTCCCCACACGGCGGCTTCATCGGCGCACAGGTCCAGCGCCGCCCTGGGACCCCACCAGCGCCCATCCGACTCCACACTGGCCTCGCCTACTCACCCACAGATCTGTCCCGGCAAACACACTGGCCACGCCCCACTGACCACGCCCACCGCCCCTTCCACCCCGGCCACGCCCCCGCCGCCGCGTCCACCCCGGCCACGCCCACCCTTTGCTGGGCTCGCCCACACACCAGCGGGGCTGCCCCGACACTCATACACCGATGGCCACGCCCCCACACGCAGGTCCGCCCCCCGCCGCTCTGGTCATACCAAGACAAGTCCGGCTATACTTTGGCCACGCCAACACACGAAGGCCAGGCCCCTACACTGGCCACGCCCACAATCCCTGACTCACCCCACCCACCAGTTTAGCCACGCCCACACCGGTCCGGCCCCCTTCACACTGTCAATCCCCCAGGCGCCAGACCAGCTCCACAACACGCACTCGATCCCGCCCCGGAAGCACAGGAGAGGCACTTGCTTTCACTGACAGAGGGCAGGGCTTGGGGCCCGCAGCAAGGCAGCAGCTTGAGGAACCGCTGCTTCAGCGCTTTTTTAGTGGGCCCTGGAGGGTGGCCTAGGAAAAGAGAAGACCCCAGGAAGGCAGATTAACCTCCGCTGTGCTCTGTGGCTTCCCCTCTCCCCTCCAGTTAAAAATCCACCCTAGCTGGGAGCGGGGCTAGGAAAGGAATAAGGTGGGGGGAAGGAATGGTGAGGGGGATGTGGAGGTGCAGGTGCGGTGGGAAGGGGGCAGTGTTGGGAAGCATGGTGGGTCTCGGATATGGGTACTTCGTCTAAAGGGGAGTGGCTAGGCAGCAAGGGGTAGGGGCAGTGGCTGACCCTTGGTTTGGGGTGTGCTGGGCAGCTCAGGGTGAAACCAGGTGAAAGGTTGCCTGGGTAGTAACACCTGTCTCTGACACACCCCACACACACAGGATGGCAGGGATGTACAGCAACATACAGAATGAGGAATCACAAACTAATAGATGCCTGTGACAGCAGCTTGATACCAGTAACTCACCTGCTGGTCTAATGAGCATGCTCCAACACACACACACACACACACACACACACTCTTACACAAATACACACCTGACATAAGCAAAACATGTTACAAAGATGGAGACCCACAATGACCAGGGACATCAGAGATTGCATCAAGGTGACCATGCCACATACCATACCCCACTGTGACCCAGGTCCTCACAGCACCCAAATATCTGAGGCTGCACCTCCTCCCACCAGGATTCATTTGTTTTGCATATATCCATATTTCTTTCTCACAACCTCTCATGCCAAGGCACCTCTAATCTTCCTGCCAAGAGAATGGGGCTGCTCAGGAGCTGTTCTGTCCACCCAGACTGTGTGGTCCTTCCTCTGCCCTTCCTGGATGGCTGGTTCTTTGAAGGTGAAATGAGCGCAAACATGGAGGCAATTGAGATCTTGGAGACATAAGCCTCTAGTGTACCAGGGTTATCTGGTGGTGGTGGCCAGTGATCAGAGCTCCTCCTCCCCTCTCCTACAGCTCTAACTGCACCCGGGAGAGCTCCTGTGTTGTGTCTACGGGCATCACAGCTGAGCCACTACAACCACTTCCAGACTCCTGGGACAAAGCCCAGTAGACCTGACCAGGCTGCTAAAGTTGGCCTCAGTTCATTCCTACCTTTAGTTATAGGTTATAGATGCACCCCAGCTTGCAGCTTCCCTGCTCACAGCTTCCTCTCAACCCAGACCCTGAGGTAATTAAAGAGGTACCACCCCCTTTCTTCCAACACCTTCTTACCTCCTCCCATTCCATCAGGCACTATGGGAGGAGGTGGTGGGCTGGACAGGGGATCGACGTGGCCTGGCCCTTGGCCCAGGGCTCCATTAGCCTGGACTTTGGTTTCCCGAAGCCGGATTGCACTTGAGGCCTCTGAGGGTTGTAGACACCTAGCTGGGGGTTGGGGGGTGGAACTCCTCTCTCTGCTTCCACCACAGGTCCCTGCCTGCTCCTAAGCCTGTTTCTTCTAGGCTATTCTGAAGGTGGGAAGAGAAAAGAATGCCTTTAGCCTGCAGGTCCATGACCAGTCCATCTTCTCACCTAACAGACTTAAGGAGGGCAAGTTAGAGCCCACTTGACTTCATCTTCTCCAGATTGGATGGGCACAAACTCAGCTCAGTCTCCCCAGTTCCAACTCCACTGTCTAAGCACAAAATGCAGCAGGTGATGGGGCAGGGCGTCCAGGAGTTGTCTGCTTGTACTAACTCTGGAACAGGCAATTCATGGACCTTCCTCCTGCCCCCAGCTTCTTCCACATCCTTCCAGTTCTCCTAGGTGTCATCTCTGAAGCCCCCGGCCATGGATCTTGCCTGCTGTCCTGTTCCTGGTACAGCTGAGGAGCGGCCTTGCCATGAGTAGCATGGTTCTTGTCTGGAAGAGAAGGACAATGCCCAAGCTCTCCAGGGAGATGTGCCCCTCTCACCTCCAACATCGCCCCCTACGCTGACTTTGGAGTGGGATGGGGAACTGGTCTTGGCTCTCAGCATTTAGGTCCTGGACCATCTGGGGAGTTTGCAGAGGCAATGGGGGAGACAGGAGGCCTGGAAAGCAGGGTCCCTAATCTGATGCCTACCTCACTCCCCAGCTGGAATTGAGCTGTAAATATCTTCCTTGGAGGTTCCCACTGCTGCCCCTCCAGAGCTCACCTTGGTTCCCAAGTCTGGGGCGTGGAGCTGAAATAGCCTGAGGGAAGCCTGGGAACCTCCTCTTTGACCATGGTCATAGCTACCATGTCACAAAGCCCCAGACACTTGCAGTCACATCCCTATCAGAGTACTTGGCTTACAGAGGCACACACTGTGTCCTCTGTCGCATGAACACAGGCACACTATGCCCCCATGCACTGCATCCCCCATACACTCGGAAACCTGCACCTGCACGGATGGAGGCCAACAGAGTCCTCAGCTCTAAAGGGGCCTCCCCAGAAATTGGGTGTGAGCTCAGGCTCCCTGGAACCTCCCCTCTGCCCTCCAGAGCCCCCTTGTATCTCCCAGATCCCTTCACCCCCTCAGTGCCACACTGCACCCATTATCACCTCTCCAGAAGCCCTGTGCTCCAGTCCCTCCTCTGTCACCCCAACCACTGCCTGCCTGAGGGCTCGCTCTCTCCCCACAGTACATCCTTGCTCACCTCCCCAGAGGCTAATCCCATCACTAACCTGCTCCACCTGCCCCCAGGAGCCAGAGCATTCTCCTACCCAGTGCTGCCAGTGGCCCAGACACCTGGGTTACCTTCCAAGGAGACAGGCTCAAAGAGGCCGAACTGTTCCAGGACCTTCACAAACAGACCGAGGACCACGAGCACAGCGACCATCTCCAGCCCTTCCAGGTTCATGGTGGGCCCAGGGCATAGCCCAGCCCCAGCCACTGCTGCCCGGTAACCTCTCTGCACCTCCCCTCAGCTCCCCAACCAGAGGAAGATGCCCACAATCTCCCTCCCTTCTCCCTCCCTGCATTTCCTCCCTCTTCCTCTCTCACTCCGCCTCTGCCCCACCAGCCTCCCAGCCACAGCAGCCGCCTCTTCCTCTCCATGGGGCCACCGCAGCCTCTGCACTGGGCAGCACCTCAGGAACCTCTGGCAGGAAGGCTAGGGGACAGGACAGACAGAGGAGGTAGGGAGAAGTGTGTGTGGGGAGGGGACCTGCCTCTGTCCACAGGACAACTGTCAGTGACTGCTGTGTGCAAAGGGAAGGGGCAGAGGGAGAATCTGTGCTTGAGGAATGGGCAGGCACAGAAGGGCAGGATGGATGCCATGGGGAGTGTGGAGCCCACATGAGGTGCACCTGTGTAAGTAGGTGTGTTGTATGGGGCAGGAGGCAGGCTGGCACTGGATGTTCCCCATGAGTATGTTGCTTTCACTGTGGAGGACACATCTCCTTGTGTGTGTATGCGCATGTGCATTTACCTGTAACTCTAGCCTGATGCACTGTCACACAGGTGTGTGCTGGATGTGTAGCCATGCCTTCCCACCTTCATATCACTGGATGCATGTGGTGTGAGTGTGGCAGGATGTCAGAGGATCTCGGAGTGGGTAGGAAGAGTTCTAGCAGGGCTGTGGGCTGGGGGTCTGAGTTGGTTGGTGGGCACTTATGAACCATAGAATTCGGAGTATGGGCCTGAAGATGCGTACCTGGTCCTGCACAGACTTGCCTGAGAAGATATGGGGGGAGAAGGTGGCAACCTCTCCTGGAGCAGGACTTGGGCCACCAAAAATGAATGACAGTTGCCATGGAGATGGGGAGGTAGAAAGTATTCTCTTCCCACAGGCCACAGACAGTGACACTGAGGTCCCAGGGAGGGAGGCAAGGTTTATTACCTTCTTGGGAGGGGACTTATTTGTAGCTGCCTTTGGGGTTAAGAGAACCCAGATGCTTGGGAGAGAAGCGGGGACCGTGCTGTTCCCTCTTTCTCGTTGGGACATCATCCAAGAGGTGCCCGAGTACTGCCTGCACCTCAAGAACTTTCAGTGAACACACAGGGCAGCCAGGGCAGAGAGAATCAGACCTGTCCCCAGCCCTGGGGGAGCCCCTTCCCCTTCCTAGATCCCTTTTGCTGCTGCTGGTGTGTGTATGCGTGTGCACACGTGCATGTGTGTATGTAGGGGTCAGAAGGGTGTGTGCAGGTGTGGAGAGGGTGTGTGTAGGAATGGGGAGGATGTGTGTAGGGGTGAGGAGGGTGTGGAGAGGGGTCTGCAGAGCCAGTGAGCACAATCCAGCCACTGAGTTAATGCCATGATCGCTGCCTCTCACTGCTGATCCACTGTGATGGCATGTTCACTGTGTGCTCTCAGACACTTCACATTGCATTTCCATGACACACTGACAAAGGCCAAGCTAACTGTCTCGCCTTACAGGTGCAGAGATGAAGCCAAAAGGAAGCTGAGGAAATCACCAAGATTGGAGTGTCCACTTTAACCCAATCTTGGCTCGGAACCTATGCTGTAAGCCACCATGTCACCCTGGCTCCTTTCTTAGGAAATTTGCTCACCAGAAGGCCCAGTCTGGGGGGACTGGCCCAAGAGGAAGCCCTCTCTCCCACCCAGTTCTGGGATGAAAGTAGCCAGACTCCAATGCTCGGGTTCAAGTTCACTGACTTGCAGTTCCACAGGGCCACCACTTGAGGTCAGCTGTATACCTGGGTACACCATAAGGTACCCCTTCCCTCTCCCCAAGGCTCCAGATCCTCTGGGGAGTTGGGGGAACGGATATTGCTGGCAGGCTTGGTCTTAGGTTTGTCCCTCACTCAACCATGGGGCATTCAAGGCTTGCTGGTGGTTTCTCATACCATATAAGTTACTGTTTAGACAGATGAAACCAACAAGTAGCTCCCTACAACTTTCCCAATCCCACTGATGGTACTGAATACCCTTACCCCATGCTTGCCAGTAAATCCCTCTTTTCCAGCCACCATGGCCTCCTCACTGTCCCCCAAACCCATCCCATCCAGTCCCCTCTCTATGCCCTGGCTCCCAGCATGCCTTCTGCTGTGATGCCCCGTCTCCCCACCGTACTTGTGTTCCCCCCAGTGGTTCTTGCT